GCAGTATAAGCATTATAGCTGTTTTCACACATGAATTGTCTAAAACAAGGGAGATGCTCTTTTCTCTATTGTATTTTAGATAGCGAACACTGGAGTATTTAAGTTAGGCATTTCTGAGCACATTTATTGCATTATTTGCAATGATCAGTTGAACAAAGCAAACCGAGATGCCACATTTTCTGCAGTGACATTATTACTCAATTAAATCTTTTGCAATCTTGTGGTTAGAGCTTATGGCAGTAGATATAGCATAATAATTAAATGGATTTTGCTAGAACAATTCTCTGCATCTTTCTTAAATCTCTACTTTGTTCCCCTTAGATAGATTTGCATGCCATAACTCTGGAGAAAGGAGAGATACTATAGTGCTGAAAAATAATTCACTCACAAATATATTTAGCTGCAACACAAAGATAACAGTCATAATTGCACTGAATGTTGCAACTATTATACTTTTATATAAGTATATAATTATATAATATAACTATTATATCTTTTCTTCTGTTCAGTCATGTTGAGGCATAAGGTTAGAAACCAGGAGACCATGAATAAGTTAAAAAATATAATAATAAAATAATTTTCCTGTATTACTTAACTTTATGATGCCAAGTGCCCATCTACATAGAAATTGGCTATTTTATTTTGTTTTTTATATAAGCTCCACTGAAAGAAACAAAATATGCATAAAGCTTCAAGCCACCAAATTTTGAAATAGTGTCAAATTAGCTAGTCTGTTCCAGAAGTGATTCAAAACAGATTGATATACCACCCTTGGATACCTGACAAACAGGAAAACAAGTTATTGCTGAAGTTAACACGATGCCATTAGCTTGGCTTGGTTGGCCTGCAAGAATTAATCACTGGAAGTCCACAAATATTTTTGTAGACTAAAGTCTAGACCTATTCAGAATCAACTCCTATAAGACTTAGTAAACTCCCAGTATTTTCAGTGAATTAGTTCTAAGCACGTATAACCATGTTGTCTGAATCCAACTCCATATGTTGGGCATCTGCATGAAACATATTTGTGCAAACCTGTTTTATTTAGGATGACCAAATCTTAATACAGGTAGTCCTTGACTTACAACTAGTTGCTTAACAGCTGTTAAGCTACAATGGACTTGAAAATAATTACTTGTAATCTGTCCTTGAAGTTATGACTGCCACAGCACTCTTAGTCACATGATCAGGAGCATTTACAATCAGTTGCAGCATTCTGCAGTCACATGAACAAGTTTTATGATGCTTTTTGCTGTTTTGGCAAAAAAAAAATGCCCATTGGATCAATTGGATTTGGACTTACAGCCATATGATTCATTTAATAACTGCACGACTTACTTAATGATCACAATGACTCATTTAACAATCATCATAAAGAAGTAAAAATCTAACGTGGTCATTAGACCTATGACTGAAATGACTTATAACTAAAATTCTGGGCTCAGCTGTTGTTGTAAATCAAGGATTACCTGTATGACTGTAATAAAAAAGGAAACAATTTTCTAATATTTTATTAGAATGTTTGAATGATCGGAATCAATATATTGTCTGTACCAAAGCTGTTTATTATGAATCTGCATATTATAATGTTAGGAGTAGGATTTAAAATTATATTTCAAAACACATACTAACATTTTAACAAGAAAAATTAATATGATTCACTGAACACTAAGAGTGTTGTCTTAAAGAAAATAATTTTAAAATATTACAAGTTTGCAATTCACTTGTGATTTACCAATTTAGCAAATGAAGGCTGAATTAACTCTAAGTGCCAATTAGAAAAATTACAATTTTAATAATCTAGAATAGGCATGATTTAAAAATCCAAAGATATTTCTGTCACTGGTGATAAATATATATTCACAATAAAATGGGAAAATCTCATTACTGAGATTTTATTGAGGTGATTTAAAGGAAACCCACATTATTTTTTAAAGAACATGATAGTTCAAAAGGCCACAATTTTTCCAATAACACTTATAAGACTGAAATAAGGAGAATTTTTAATATTGTGTCAGTGTACTCAGAATCACAATATGCTGCTACACATATTTATATAGGAAAAACCTTGATGTTATGGAAAATGTTAGAACTACTTTTAACATTGCCAAAACATAAAGTCTACAGATTTACAATATATACATATTTACATATTGTAAAATAAATAAACAGCGATCACCAGGAGAATCAATGAGAAAAATATTTAATAAAACCTAGCTTTCGTCGGAAGCTTCCGACATCGTCAGGGTTAAAAGCAGTCATTGGGAAGAAACTTATATATGATCACTAGATGCCTGCATCCGGCTTCTGGACCCCATCACTGGTCCCAGCTGATCAAATTGCACCCTGAGCATACCCTTTGCGCCAGCGCCCAGTCCTTTCCTGTTACTATTCCGTACGCTATTTTTCATTCTTCCAATCGCTAATTCTGGGGCTGAGTGGGGTCCTCTCCCATCCCTTTTGGGTAGTAGTTCTTTCCATCCCCCTGCCCCCTTGTGCACAGTTCTCCTTGCCAGGGGTCCTGGGGTGCGGGCCATTCGGTTCTCACCTGATCCCACCACATACTCCATTTAAACTCTGATCGATTCCCCCCGCCCCCTGGGGCTGTAGCTCGGGCGTCTCTCTTCGTTCTACGTTTTCCACCCTCCCATCCCTTTTTACGTGAGTAGTCCCGGTTTGCCTTTCGTTTGACTTGATATCTCTTTCCTTATCTTCGTTTGAAGCGTTCTCCATCACTGACATATCGATGGCACTTTGCCATCCAATCCGCTGTTGATGATCACCATCTCCGCTCAACACAGATCCCTTGTATTTGTTTTTCACGGAAGAATCCCTCTGCTGTAGCTGTGAATATTCTTTGTTCATGATCTTGTGCTTCCGCGTCAAATCTATTGATAAAGTGTCTCTCTCTCCTTTCTGACGCGATTGGGTTATCATCGCATGTCTGCTGATTTTACTTGCGGGTAGCCTGTCTTTACTATTATTTCTAACCTCTGCCTCTACGGGCCTGTCACCCGTCCTCCTAGGTCTCACTCCATTATTCCGGGTATCGTCTATCCATTTTGGGGATGACGTTCCTCCAAGGCAGCGGTTCTCAACCTGTGGGTCGGGACCCCATTTGGGGTCGAATGACCATTTCACGGAGGTCGCCAAACAACACAGGCCACCATTTTTTCCCCTTTTCCTTAGCTGTGCTACTCCCTTTTATTCTATTGGCTTTTGAAAACCAATAGAATAGACTCTCTTGAATAGAGTCTAATTCTATTGGCTTTCAAAAGCCAATAGGAATTGTCCAGGCTGTCTCTGCCCTGCTGAGCCGCCAAAAGTCCCATTCTGCAAACGGTGCTGCAAGTTGTCTGCAGCGAAGGCGAGCTGTCTGGAAGTTTCCACCCCTCCCTGCTGAGCAACTACTAAAAATGTAAGTAAAAGAGGGCCAGGGGTGGGAGGTGGGAGGCCGGCGGGCGCAGGGAGGGTTACTGGCGCGCATGGGGCCCAGTGGGTGCCTTACCTCCCTTGGGCTGGGCCAGCTGGTGGCCCAGCCGGTGGTCGGCCTGCGCCGTCTCTGCCACTTGCCAGCTACGCTTCGGCTGGCGCAGGGGGCGGCACAATGCATGTGCGGCGCTCCCGGGCAGGGAAAGTCCTTGACTTACGACCGGTTGGGTAGTCCTCGATTTACGACCGGTTGGGTAGTCCTCGACTTACGACCGGTTGGGGGTTGCGGCATTAAAAAGGTTGAGAACCACTGCTCCAAGATGTGACGGGGAGCCCTGCAAGTCACCTATTTCACCCTTCCTCGTCCCTTCGTCCCTCGTTAAGTCTCTCGATCTTCCCCGGATCCTTGTTATTCCGTATCGAATTCATCAGCTGTTGGTTGGAACTATTCAGCTGTTGGTCGGGCATTAGGAGGGTATCCATAGTTCGCGGGGAGTTAGTTAGGACTCTGTTAGTGCGATCATATGGAGGATTGGGCGCAGTACCCTTTCATCAATCATACAGCTTTCGATTAGGTTCCCTCCAGTGATTGGGATGACGATTCATACTCCATGTTCTCAAAGCTTGTTGTGCCGAACAAAGGTCTATGTGGCGATTAACTGAGTCTTTTCCCGAGAACCAGGCTTCCTTCAACAGTCGGCCCCCTTTTGTGGCGTCACTGGACAAAATTTGTACATTATCAAAATCAAACTGATGGTCATGTTTTAGCCATATGGTGATCATCAACAGCGGATTGATGGCAAAGTGCCATCGATATGGCAGTGATAGAGAACGCTTCAAACGAAGATAAGGAAAGAGATATCAAGTCAAACGATAGGCAAACAGGGACTACTCATGTAAAAAGGGATGGGAGGGTGGAAAACGTAGAATGAAGAGAGACGCCCGAGCTACAGCCCCAGGGGGCAAGGGGAATCGATCGGAGTTTAAATGGAGTATGTGGTGGGATCAGGAGAGAACCGAATGGCCCGCACCCCAGGACCCCCGGCAAGGAGAACTGTGCACAAGGGGACGGGGGGATGGAAACAACTACTACCCAAAAGGGATGGGAGAGGACCCCACTCAGCCCCAGAACTAGCAATGGAGGAGTGAACAATAGCTTACGGAATAGTAACAGGAAAGGGCTGGGCGCTGATGCAAAGGGTATGCTCAGGGTGCAATTTGCTCAGCTGGGACCGGTGACGCGGTCCAGAAGCCGGATGCAGGCATCTAGTGATCATATATAAGTTTCTTCCCAATGACTGCTTTTAACCCTGACGATGTCGGAAGCTTCCGACGAAAGCTAGGTTTTATTAAATGTTTTTCTCATTGATTCTCCTGGTGATCGCTGTTTATTTATTTTACAATATGAATATATCCAGGAGTCGGATTTTTACCCACATTATTAACCATATTTACATATTTCTGTTAAATACTGAGGGAAATGCAAATAGAGAATATTCTTTTTGCATATAAATGTTCTTTCTATGCAAAGTCAATAAAGCTATAATGGTAAATATATAGCTACATACAATCTACATTTCGTGGGCCACCATCCATTGTCAAAGCACCAAACCTAAATAAAAAACACAATTCAGTTATTACCAATAGGTAACACTAAATATTACATAATTTAGCTTTCAGACTATTTTAGAGATGTAATTCCAAGTTTAGAAATAAAATAATATCTAAAGCGATGCAAAGCTTTGAAAGAAATAAACATGCTTTCAAAATGGTAAAGGCTATGACATTTGATGGATTATCTGCTGTTTCTTGCTCTGAAGAATTCTAAACATTCTGTTTACATTTGAACAACATTGGGAAAAGTTATTTGATGACTCCCACAAATCTCCATTCTGCCATAAGCAAAATGCCTATGACTATTAACCCTTCAACAAACCTTGCCTGTTAAGAACATCGGGGGGGGGGGGGAACAATGCTGTTTCGTTGTTTGCTCTCTCTGCTAAAATTTATTCAGAAAGGTTTGTTTTTTAAAAAAGTCCAGCTTGATTTTCCTTGGGTGACATTCTATATTTCCATCAATCAATCCATCCATTTTATTGCAATTCTGTATTAAGTTTCAATCTATTTTGCTTTACAGTACAAATTCTGGGTTTTGCTGGCTTCCACTTCTTTTGCTCTTCATCCTCCCTTTATGTTCTTCGCAACAATTTTAGAAATAAACCATCCTGTTTTCTTTCTACTATTTCTCTCTCTGTTTTGTCTTAGGCTGAACTGGTCTGAGATAGTACACTTGTGTATAAACACAGACCATTTCTTTATGTCAGTGTATTGTATCTGTCATAGTAATAACATACATCTTAAATGTTTTTCTTTTAAATAAAAGTTGCACATGCGATTTGTGCAACAGTCATGAAAGAGGCTAATACTATCAGTGAATGAGTAGCCTAAAAAAGCATTTAGTCAGTGAAAGGCACATTCTCTGAATTTTAGTAAGATCTTATATTTAAAAAATGTTTCTGTTGTTATTTAGAATCTGAGCCATTCTGCATTGATTTTGCACAATGTGTCTCTAAGCTCTGCTAGACATTCTGGAGGCTGGTCTATTCTTTCCTTATTTCTCCTATATTTGCCCCCCAAAATTCCATTGTATCAAAAAAATATAAAGACCTACAGAGAGCTTTCTCATTATAGCATATATTTAAAACTTGGTTGAGTCAACATTTGTTTGACTCAAATCTTGCCATTTTTGAATCTTGAATTCAAATTGAACTGTGGTTGATTTATATATTTCTAGTTTACAAAGCACTGATATTTATGAGATGTCTAGTTCAAAGGTTAAGTAAGGCAAAGTCTGATTAATACTTGAATGAGAGTCAAAGAATCCCAGGGCTATAGTAAAGTAAAAAGATGCCCTATAAGGTTGCTGTGGCAAACCACTATATAAAAAAACTACCTGGATACATCTATGAAATCAGTTGTTTACATCTGACACATGATTTACAAACTATTTTTCTTCCATGAATAGCCTAACGTCAGTGCAGCCTCCCCCCCTTAAAAAAAACTGCTGGTACCAAATGAGCCTGTAGTAGGCAATCTAATGTTTTCCGGATATTCTGGATTACAATTCTGGTAAGACATAATTGACACAGCAACGGTTATACAGTGGTACCTCAGTACTCAACTACTTCAATACTTATTGAACTGAGTCTGCGATGCATTTTGATGTAAAAATGTTACCTTGATACTTGTTTGTTTTGTACACACTACAATAGGAAGAGGAGGACAGCTGTGGAGAATGGCCAGGAAGTCAGCCATGCAGGGAAGGTTGCTGCAAAAGGAAGATGGCCACAGAGGGCAGACAGAAAGTCCCTCCCAGTAAAAACAAACGGTCAGGTGGTAAGTCACGTAATTTGTTTGGTACTTATTGTACCTCCCGAAACCAATTAACGATGATTGCTGAGGTATCACTGTAGATAACAGACATAGATTATAAGAATTGCAATTTTGGAAAACCCGTGGTTGCCTATCCTGAGGCTATCACTCAATTTAACCCATTGTTTCTTTGCATATCTATTGAGCTACTGGTAGAAGAAAACTACTCTGAATGTTATGCAAATACTCTGTCCTAATAAACTTTTACTCAAGCATCTGGGGAAACTCCAAATATCTCTTAAGTCTTTTCCAACAGCCTTATTTCTCATCCAATTCTCTCCCCTTGTGATTTTGCATTCCATTCAGATAATTCCCTGGAAATCTTGACTTCTCAGTTCTCTGGATATATGCTACAGTGGTATGGATAACTAACCTTTCTAAAAGATGATTATTTTCAGCTAGTTCTTTAACAACACCCTCCATTTCTTCTTTCAGTTTCTTCATACTATAAACAAATTAATAAAAATAAATAAATAAATAAATAATAAAATAATTATGGAATATTTCTGATATTATTCACTGAACACTGTAGTAGAAGTGTCTTAGGAAAAGTAGATATGAAAAAAATAAATGCCCATATACAACAGTGATTTTGGGGGGGGGGGAGAAACCATAAAATCTGAACCATTATCCTTATTCATCAGTGTTATTATTACAATGGATAGGCTAAATAATAATTTAATATTTTGCAAGATGACAGAGTAAAACAAAGAAGATACAAGCAATTTTCTACAAATTGCTGTGCAACCCCCCTCCCAGATGTCTAAAGTCAGTCCTACCTCTTTTTCTGCAATGCAAATGAATCTGGTAACTATAATATTTATTTATTGTTTATTTATTCATTCATTCAATTTCTATGACCACCTATCTCAGACAAGGATGACTCTGGGTGGTGAACAATCAATTAAACCAAGTACAAACACAATACAAAAAAATAAATATATATAGCAGCTGAGAAAAAATTATAACCATAGATGTTAACACAATCAGGAAAGAGGGCCGTTAACACACTTGGGCCCCATGGCAGGCATGTAACCAGGTCTTATGAAAGGTGAATAGGATCAGGGCTATCCTAATCTCTGAAGGGAGAATGTTCCAGAAGGTAGGCACCATGGCAAAAAAGGCACACCTCCTAGTCCCCACTGGCAGACATTTCTACCGAACTGGATTGGGTGAGTAGAAACAACTGGGAGAAGATGATGCCTAGGTAACTGGTCGCAAGCCAGGTGGCAACAGATCACAAGTGAGGTTAGAGAACAGACTTTCCAGACATAGAACATCTGAAACTGGCAAGATCAATCAGTTTAAACTTTAGCACAATCATAATGAAAGCATATAAAAGTTTCCTATTTGTTCAAATAAAAATTCTTACCCAAGAGTCATTTCCACCAAAGTGTTTGAACTGGGATAAACTGGATTAAATGTATGTTTGATCCCACTGGAAGCAGCTAGCATCTTATGGGGCAATGTTTCATCTAACTGCAATAAATGCATAAATCTATGTAAATGATAAAACCACCATATTACAAACACTTATTTCCTATAAATAATCACTGGATTTGAAGGATACAAAAGTATTCTACTCTAGTAATATCACTGGACACTTATCACTGATTATTACTATTGTTTTACATAGCCTATTAATTCAAGTATTGATCCTAGTCATGTTATTGAGATTTCCAAGCAAATTGCTCATTCCCCAATTACATTATAGAAAAATGTAGTGTGGTAATGATTGAATATTTTTCCAAATTAAAACACTGCTAAATGTTTCTTTATTTTAACATTTCATGTAACAAAAGATGAGCAAAATTATCAAGTCAGTATTGCGGTCTGTAATGCATACAATAAAAACTCAAGGTGTAGTGGAAAAGGTTATTATTTTGAATAATTAAGGAGAACATCACCTCGTTTACATAGTCCTGGTATTTGGACACCTCTTCCTCAATATCAAAGCATAGTTTTCTAAGACCTAGTAACTGTTTCTTTAGAAGAAGCATCTTTCTGGAAAAAAATACAATTTATATGAAAGTATTGTATAACTTTTGTTAATATGTTGCTTTAATACAATACACTAATGTTAAATATTACTCAAAAAAAGGAGCACTTGCCTCATCCAATCCTCTGCCTTATCTAAAAAGGTTTCATATTTGTTGAGACATTCTTCCTTGAACAGAGTCATGGCTTTTGTGGCATGCAAAAACAGTTTTTGTCTGTAACACCCAGAAATAAGAATCAGAATGCTTTAAGGTACTAACTTTCCAAATTTATTTGAGAGTTTAAAAACCCATAGAACATGCATTTAGCTAAAGTTCAGGAAAGAGGAAATATTTCAGCAATTCACCTTCTTGTATATACAGAGAATACATTAGGTCAATGTGGTCAAGTAACGTATTTTAATATGTTGTATAATCTGTCCTTTCCATTAGATTCAAATTAATGCAAATAGCACTGCTTTATTTTGAATTAACTCATCATAATGGGTTGGCTATAAATTGTTTTAGTATGAACTACTGGATCTTTCAAGACAGATCGATTGTGCCCTTCTCGATTATACATAAAATATAAATTAATACATGAAAAAGGGTATTCCTGCTCTAAACTCAAATAAACAAAAAGCTTTTAAGAATATTTTAATCATTTTCCTGTTTGGTTGAATGTTTTAGAATGTTAATATTTTCCAGTTAAAGAATTTTTAACCATTGTGCTTAAGTTTATTAATAATTTATCATTTAATAATTCTTAATGTATATGAAGACTTCTAAACCTTCAGAGTTGCATAACAGCCAGCTTTTTCTTCAATGGCTGATTTGTATTTTTCCCCCATCACTCTTTTTAAAACTCTGTAGTGTTACAAGACCCAGATTTATAAAATACAGAGGACTCATTCTAATCTCTGCATACATCAATAGACATGCACATTCCTTATATATGTTTTGTATTTTATATGGACACAGTATAAAAGGCTATTGAGTAAAGGAATATTACACAGAGCAAAGGCATCCACTTGTCACTTCATCCCTAGCTTCACAGAACTTATTCCCCCAATTATATTGTTGAAGACAAGAAACAAACAAACAAAAAAAAATAGTACACTACAAGTATAAAATCCTTATAAAACAAATGGACTTACTTGTCAAATTTGTGAATTTGCTCTTCATTATAAGGAAGTCCTAAAGAAGGAACCATTTAAATTAGATTGGATGGTCAAGAAATTATTTCATGCAATTAAACTCTCCTTACTAATATACTGATTAAGTGTCAGCAAGTTGGGGTGAACTCTTTGTGTCTACACAAACTTTTTCCAAGATGATCTGTCCTCAACTTGGATTTTTAGGGATTTTAATGGTGTATTCACAGCTATTATAATCTAATTCACCCATTTTGCTGGTGATTCTCCTCTTCTCTTTGTTTCCACTTTACCCAGCATAATGGACTTCTCAAGAGACTGGGTCTCTCCTTAATGTGTCTCAAATATGATTGTTTGAATCTGGTCTGAAAACTCAGAGTTGATTTATTCCCTGGCCATTCATTTTCCTGACAATATGGTATTCTCAATAGTGTTCTTTATTGGAATTGCACTTCTACTCAAGAGAAAATTCTGAATTGCTTTCAGAATTTCTGCCCCATCAAGTCAACCCAGAAATTTAAGGATATTTTGCAATTAACTGAAGCTAAAACAAAAACAAAAATAGTTTAAAACCACTTACTTCTTTCTGCTTTATCTTTTTTAAATTGATAATAAATATCAGTTATGGAAGTCAGTAGGACTTGCAATTTTTCTGGGCTACAAGAAAACAGAATAAAATGAAAATATAAAGATAATGCTGTTGTGCAATGCTTTTAATTCAAAGGCAAACAATGACTTTAAGCTGCGGGGATATGAAACTGGCAGTTTCTGCAACTTAAACAAAATATATTTTTTCCCAAGAAACATTCAGCAACTGTTCAAAATAACTAAGCAATCCCAGGAAAAGCTACAACTCCTTTAAGAAGCTTCAAACATGTCTTTAAGTACCTGCCCCAGCTGATCCTCTCAGAAAAGTACGACTCTTGATTCCATAACGTTAATCAAATGAACTTTTACTGAGAAAGTGGTTGCAATAAAGACAAGCAGAATCTAACCTTCCCACGCAAAGCACAAACCTATTCCTCCCATTCCAAAACCCAAACGCCCCTGACCAGTCCACTAGCAGCTAATGTATTGCTGCAAGGTTTTTTTTTTTGAGAGTGCTGAGGTACAAGCCTGATAACGGGTCATTCTCAGGGTGCAGCGACCTTGGAGTCAGGCTGGAACTGGCTGAGAGGAAGTCCATCTTGTGTCTTAAGATGATCCCCCTCCCTAATTCCCATGAGGTTACAGCAAAGTGGAAGCATACAAAGAATGCTCTCCCCAGAGCCTCCTTCTCTCCCTCCAACCAAATGGCAGGGCACCCAAAAGGTCTCCTTGTACATTCCAAAGCACTATTTTGGCTTCTAATTAAAAGTCCTCCTACACTCTAAACCAGACATGTCAAACACAAGGCCCAGGGGCGGGAACGGCCCGTGAAGTGGTTTCATGTGACCTGCGAAGCCATCCTGGAAACAGTGAGGGAACGGCCCCCTCTGCCTTGGCCCTGGCCCAGGCCAGTTGGGAGCCAATGTATAATTTTGTGGTGGCCATCTATGCTGAAACGCATTCAGTCTTAGCTCCATAAACACCCCCCCCCCTCGCATGGCCTGAGAGGAACAGTGAGGCTCCTCCAGTGGACCATGCCTTGGCACTTGTCCTGGTCCCACCCCCTTCTGCCAGAGACCCTCAGATCTATCCCACTCCTGCCCAGGCCCCCACAGGCACCCTTGACACAAACGATGTAGAGCTGGCCACGCCCACCCAGTAGGTCACACCCACTCAATCCACGCCCACCAAGTAGGCCGCACCCACCCGGCCCCGGGACAACCGCAATGCTGATGCGGCCCTCAATGAAATTGAGTTTGACACCCCTGCTCTAAACAATGATTCACACCAGAATTTAAAAGTTAAATAAACAATTAAAACTCAATGGAAATTCTACTAACTTTCTATCTTTTGGATGTGTACCATCTTGGCTAGTCCAGCTGTCAGATAGTAAACCACTAGGAGAAAGCTTGTTTTTGATATCCTGAAGACTGGTCTCTATTGTTCCTTGAGAACTAGAAAGCTACAAAAATACAACAAATTTAACTATATACAACTATATAACACTATAACTATATAACTATAGGATGGGATTCGAATCTGGGCAGCTTGCATGTTAGGCAGTTGTATTAACCTTCTGAGCCACAGGTTCCCCACACTCCTGTCAGCAGAAACCAGGGAGGATATATATCTATGTGTTGGCTGGAGCACCCAGTCTACCAAGTATAGGATAAATCAGTCTGTTCTGCGTTTCGCTCCAATCTAGGAGCATGTTTTGCAGGCAGATATCACATACTGTGAACACTGTAAATTCAAATTTTTTTGTGGCTGACAAAGAGTGGGAGACTAGTATAGCTATTTCAAGCTCTTTAGCTCTCACCAGCTAGTGTGTGTGTGTGTGTGTGTGTTTTATAACTTTATAATTTGCAACATTTACACCAAGAAATCCCAGGAACTAGAAAAAGCTGAATATAGGACTACTGCCAGAGCTCAGCAGCAAAACTGTATCTTGTAAAAACTAAATAACTTATTCTAGAAGTAAAAATATTTCAAAAATAATTTGACTGAAAAAATGTCTGTAGTACATGTCTAGTATGTGTTGTAAATATGTACATTTATATTTGGTTAATACTAATATATGTAGGGCAATCTGTATGTGCACTGAGAGTCAATATGGTTATCGATGTTATAAGTATGCAATAAGTTATAAGCCTAAAAAAGGAGCTGGAAAATAATAATTTCAAAAACTGATATGACTTAAACCATCTTATGTAATACTGCAACACTAGATAATGCTAACTGAATACTAGCTAATAGTAATAGATTCTACTGATTCAATATTTATAGGTATAGATAATGACAATTCATTCAACATCAAGAGCTATTTCACATTCTTTTAATTTTATTTATAAAATTATCATCTACAGCAGTGGTTCTCAACCTGTGGGTTGGGACCCCATTTGGGGTCGAACAACCATTTCATGGGGGTCGCCAAACAAGGCTGTCCGCCATTTTTTTTCCCTTTTCTTTGGCCACGCCCCTGGCACCCGGTGATGTATAAGTGGTTGGGGGTCACCACAACATGGGGAACTGTATTATGGGGTCGCGGCATTAGAAAGGTTGAGAACTACTGATCTACAGGTATGGATGGTATTTCTTATATGGCAAATCATACATTTGAAATTTGCATAAGTGCTATAAGCAATACATTATTATTGTTCTCACCAAGAAAAATACAAATGTGTGTAAACTTATTTTACTTATTAAAAACTAAAAAAAATCCTTTGCAAGTAAATTTCAGTGCTCTTGTAATTTGGGAGAAACTGTATTGTGCACTAGAATATTGTAATATAAAGTTTTACCAGTAACAGTTTTGAGTGTATGTCTAAAATGTCATCCACTTCTGACAGTGCCAGATTTTGGTATCTGTTCACAGAAAGAGAAGACAAACATAAAATAAATGAATAATGGTTTATAATTTTGTTTACAATATCATATTTTTAAATCTAACATTCTTGAATAATAATTTTGGATCTAATTGGAAAAATTCATGTATGTGTGTATTATTGCTAGTATTATTTAAAAAGTCTTGCTCAAGTTATATATGGCTCTAATTTGGCAATAAAAACATGCAGAAATTTCATTAGACATAAGCAGCAGTTTTGCTGAATATTATTTCAATATTTTATGTTAGCAGATTAATCATTGTGTTACTGAAATAATATCTGCCATGATTTATTTTGCTCTTCTCTGGCTCAAGTTTTCTTGGTTCACAAAACTTTCAAAACACAAATAAATAAAAAATAAATCACTGAATTCCATGTGATGATCATGTTCCACTGATGCTGTCTAGTTTCAAAGCTTTTTCCATAAATTTTGTCAGCAAGCTTGTGTCTTCCAAATATTCTGATTTCAACTTGAGTAACTACAACCTGGACAATTATGTAAACATGTCTTTAATAAAAGTAAAATAAAACAAAACAAACAATGTATTGTGTCAAAATGCAACTCAAAATAATTGCTTTGATTGCATTAGAAATCAGGTCAAAATAGATTTATCATGCAACAAACACTATAGTAGTGCACAACCACCATGCTTAACCCACTATCGATATACATATGCATCTACAGCAGCGGTTCTCAACCTTTTTATACGGCGACCCCCGGTCACACGGACGCGCTGCGCATGCATGGCGCTGCCCCCATGTGCGGCGCACATGCGTGGCGTCGCCCCGAGGGGGAAAAATGGCGGATCACGTTGTTTGGCGACCCCTGTAAAATGGTCGTTCGACCCCAAATGGGGTCGCGACCCATAGGTTGAGAACCGCTGATCTACAGGTATTGGGGAGATGTCTGTAGGTTCAGATGTATGTTCATAGATCTTTCTTCTTAGAATTATTTGTCGACAAACTGTCAAGCACCAGGGAAATAAGGAGATCCAGGCAGTTCAAATGATTATAAAGATTTATTGCAAGCTTAAACTTTCTACAAGAATCTGAACTACTAATGGTCCAAGCAAAATGGTAGTAGATAAGAATCATGGGAATTCAGGGTGGGCTGGACTTAGATCTCTTGTGGACGTGAAGAGACTCATGACTGAAGACACATCGGACTCAGCCTAGTCATCTCCTACACAAACAGTCCATAAGACTTCCTTTAGCCATGGCCAGTTTTTAGGACAACATGGCGTGTTGCTTCAATTGTGAAGTATTGGATAATAAATAACAATGACAATATCATCATCATCATCCAGAGGAGGGCAACAAGAATAAATTAGAAACTAAGTTCCTTGAAAGACTAAAGAATCTGCCCATATTTAAGAAAGTTACGATAGCTTGTTTAAATATCTGGAAGGATGTCGCAATGAAGGTCAAGATCTGTTCTCCACCATATCAGCGTTTAAGGCAAGGAATAATAGAACTAAAGGATGAAGAATCTAACCAAACGTTCAGGGGGAAAAAAATCAACAATAGTGGAATAGAAATTTGTCAATGGAACCGATTATCCAGATAAGTGGTTGACTTTCCATCAGATGTGTTTATATTTGAGCTAAAGCTAGACCAACATCTTTTGAGAATGATTTATTTTGGATTTTTGCATTCAACAGGCCTGGATGGCATCCTTGAACCCTTCCAACCATACAATTCTGGGATATTACACTGATTTTATAATCAGTTAGCTAGTACTGCACTTATGTGGTGAAGAGTAGCACTTCAGTTTTCTTGCTTTAAAAAAATAAACTGCCATGTAGATGAATTCTCCCTAAAATACTCACATTTTCATAGCTTTTTCTGTATTTCTATTGCAACATTCCAGCTTGATAACAACCTCTGTCTTTTTGTGGAATGTTTCATTATATTCTTCTTTGATGATTTCACTAGAAAACATAGCAACTGAATCAATAGACACAGAGATGAAAGCATCATGAACTTTTTTCTTGGTCTTATGAAAAAATTAAAATGCCTATCACCAGTCTCCAGAGGAGGAGGGAGTGAGGAATTAAAAGAATACAACAAACACAAAGTGACCTGGGTAATCTAGTACAATCTCCTGCTCAGTAAGATTGGAGCTAAAGGGATGTCCGATTACTGTATGACATCTCCGTTGTACTATTCTATTACTACTCTTAAGTTTTATTACTTAACCATTCTTAATATCAGGACATTCTTTTGAATATTCAGCTTGAGTTTCCTTTCAGTTTTAATTAGTTGAAACAATCCCAGATTCAAGAAAGAACAAATGTATCACTTTTCATATATGACATATATTTGGATTTTTGCAGACTGCTGTACTCCCGCCATAAGTCTTTAAGAATTGTGAATTTTGAACACTGAAGTATACTACCATTATCAGTTCAAGCCATTATATTCCTCATTAATTTTTTTCTCTGATCCTCAAATGCAACAATTTACCAGAACATTCAATCAGCTTTTTCAGTCCGCCCCAAAAAGAAATGTGAAAGATATTTTTGATTTGCCTAATTTTAATATACTAAAGTAATAAGCTCCAGTACTATTGATGTAATTAGGAACATTCAAATTGAAAATATTAAATATAGCACAAGAATCGTTATTCTGCATCTATATTACACCAACTATTTTAATATTTTATATTGTGAGATAAATATATGTTCTGACAATATATATATATATATTAATTTTAAAGGTTAAATCAGTTATGAAGAGGGATATTTGAGGCTGTATGTCCACAGTGAATGGAGCAAAAGTCCCAAATTCCTTCCTTTATGCCCATGCACAGAAGCTATCAAAGAAGCCCATTCTTCAATTCTGCAGGAAGCTAAAGAAGAACTAATTCTTGGGGAACTGTCACTTAAAATCCCTTCAGATGCCTTGAGAAGAAGCCTCCTGATTGAATAATTTTACTTTCCTTCATCTTTCTCATTAGGAATAGAAAAAAGAATGCATATTGCTGTGAGCCTAGAACTTAACAGTGGGTTGAAAGAAATATGCTCAGGATTGAATCTTTAATCTCTAAACTTTATAAATATATATGGAATCTGATAGTTATTAGCAGGTATTTGATTTGTTTGTTTCCTTTCATCAGGAAAATTTAATCAATATCAATTCCACCTACTTCGTATGAAGTAGTATCATCCATTATTGCACCTGTTTGGTTACAACTGGATGAATAGTGCACATAATTCTTTATTACAATATTTCTACGTCTTCCAAAGTGTTCGTGACTCAGCTGATTATATAATCATAAAATATAATCAAATACAATAGAAACTTAGAAGCAACTCAGAACCACTGTCAAATCCTATAGAATATTAGAATGGAGTTTTCACAGCTTTGCGAAATGCATGCAAGGTGGGGGCTCTCCTTGTCTCAGAGAGTAATTTGGGCCCTCATTCCCTTAAACTCTGGTTGGGTAGAGATCCAAAACAGCCTTTTGAGGGACAAATAGAGCATGTTGATTTTGATACAGAAAGATAATCTTGCAAGTACATGGGCATGGCATCATATAATCTTTAACAATTAAAATAAGCATTTTGAAATAGGCTACTGACTTAACCAGGGTTTCACACAGTCACTGAAAAACACACATTGAATATTTATTCATTTATTTGAATGTATTAGCCATCAATGGACTCTTCCCATACCTCCAACTCTTACTTAATTATTCAGAGTCAGAGCTGTTACCTGCAGGAATGACAATGAGCACAGTTCATCAATAGCATCACTCACATTAGCCATCTGATTCCTTTTCGCATGAGCTCTTGATAAAGCAGTAAAGCTTGGGCAATTCTACAGGCATAACATACAACTCCTGTTACTACCTGTAAGAAAAAAACAAATAAAATGCATTGGTGAATAATTTGCTACAGTAATTTTATTAATAGGGTAATGTAATATTTGGGATGAAATAAGATCACAAGGTAAATGGGAATATAATCCACTAAACCAAATACCAAGCATAAATAAATATCAGTTAAGTTTCTGTATTAAGTTAGAAAGTTGTAATACAAGCTCTGCAAAAAGCAAAAAGTAAACATAACTTGAAGACTATGTATATTACTAAAATGAGTGGTAATAGATCAAAGAAGTTCAGATTAAGGTATAAGGCAAGCAAATTCTTATTATATCATCATTAAAGTTTTTTAAAGAATCATTACTAAAATTACTACTTATACAATTCTACCCTATATTATCTGCATTTAATAACATTAATTTATTTCCCTCCTATACATCCTAAATGTAGCTGTCCTTGTTTGTCTCACTTAGTTGCAGGATCTGCTTACTTTGCATTGCGCTCACCTAGTTCTTACAGTGAAGTATTTAAAAAGCATGATTCAGCAGGAACTTTTGTTTGTCACATTGATAAGGGCTGAGAAGGAATGCCTGCTCCCCAGTGACCCAACTGGGTTTCATGCTTAAGGGAGAACTAAAACCTGGATCTCCCCATTCCCAGCCCAGCAACATCAACACCACACTGGCTCTGAAGTATTCATTCTTATACATGTAATTATAATTAATTGAGATACTTACTTTCGCCATACTTGCATCACTATCCAAGTCATAACGTTGATGAACCTTAGGAAGCAAAACTGCAATAGGACAGAAGGTTAAAAAAGAAAATTAAAAATTACAGTCAGAGTGATTTGGGGAAAGAATGAATTCATTATAAGTAGAATATATTTTTCTAACTAATCCTCTTATAACTATGTAATTTGTTAAAGAAAATCTTATGGTGAAAAGCCATTTCTTTGTCAACAGAAATGTCCCTATTATTATAAGTTCTACCTTATTTGTAAAGTTCATTTACATTCTATTAAGTAATACTGTTACATTTCAAATTGAATGTGTGGTAAGGAGTTGCCTCAGGATATTGTATCTGTCAAAATTTGTAAGATGGAAGGTACAGTGTCACAAAGCATATGCTATCACTTTTGTATATATATGTAACAGAACTGAGATACTAAAACAGTGGTGCCGAACCTATGGCACAGGTGCCAGAGGCGGCACTCAGAGCCCTCTGTGGGCACGTGCGCCATCACCCCAATCCTAGGACTTCAGCTGGGTTTTATAAAACCTTTTTGCTTTATGCCTCCGCCGCTGTGTACCCAAAATAAAAGTTCAATCAGTCAGTCAATTTCAACTTCTCGCGGGGAAAAAAAGATCTTGCAAAGTTGGAATTGATTGATTGAACTTTTTAGTCCCACCCAGTCTGATGTTACCCCCACAACCACGCCCACCCAATGGGCCATACCCACCCAGCACCCGATCATGTATAAGTGGGTTTTGGGTTGCAGTTTGGGCACTCGGTCTCTAAAAGGTTCGCCATCCCTGTACTAGAGGAATAGGGCTTGATCAGAAGACAGCACTTACCTTCTTGCCATTTTGATCACAAATAATGCCCCTTTTGCTTATTTTATGTAATTTCTGCTTTTTACTGTAGCATTGTGCTGTATTTTCAGAACTGTTTATTTTTTATTTTAAAAATTTTCTGAATTGTACCATAAAGCAAAATAAATATTAAGAATCCTTTTTGAAATGTATGAAGATGGAACATTGTACCAATTCAGAACTACACAATTTCTCAAATGAAATGAAAAACTCATTGCTATTTCAATAATTAATTTACAGTGAAAAATGTGTAATTTTGATTACACATGTAATCCTATAAATAAAATAGAATTTTGAGTTAGGATACATTCCAAATAAACTTGAATTAAAATTTTGCCCACATCAGATGGGCCTGAGTGGACTCTGACTTATCTCAATAAAAGTTAGATAGGATTGGATGTGGCTATTACTTAAGAATACATTGATGCAATATATTGGGATACAACAGTAAAAAAAAAAAGTCTTATTTTATTATTATTTAAATAATAATTGCTACAGTCATATATAAAATAGTATAGCTTTTAAGAGTTACACATTTAATAAAACTAAAATATGTTAATGCTTAAGTTTTAATAAAAAATAAGAATTCCATCATACTTTCTTCATAAAGTAATCCTATGACGTTTACAGCTTCTCTGCTTACTACAATTATAGGATTTTCCTCTGTGGCTTTAGGGAAAACTTGTGCCAGTCTGCTAGGTTCTAGTACTAAACGCCGGCCTTCATATACCAATTCTTGATTGTGTGAAGGTATTTTCGTCTGTTTGTAGACAAGTTCATTAAATACGGTAGTACTGTTAAAAGGGGGGAAAAACACATGTAAGAAAGAACTCTCAATCCATTAAAACAGCCAGAGGTAAGAGGGGAAAAAATCTATTTAAAGGCAAACAAATCATAGACCTAGTTGACTTATGAAAATAAATTATAGAAACACTTACTTATTATGATTGTGAATATAAATTTTGTGTGCAGTCATTTGTTGAAGAGAGAAGACATGAATAATTATCCGATGAAGTATGTCACTCGTCTCTGCAAAAAACTGATCAAATCCCCAACACTTTTCTTGATCCGCTTCAAGAATATTCGCAAGGACAGGTGTAAGCAGCACCTGCAATCCCCTAAAAGGTTACATAGAAAACAAATATTATATTGGATAAAGTATGATGGCATTCTTTCTGTTTCAGCCAAACTTAAATATACTATTTTTTATTATATAAGTAGTCCTTAATTTACGACCATAATTGAGCCCAAAATTTCAGTTGCTAAGCGAGACAGTTAAGTAAATTTTGCCCCATTTTACAAGCTTTCTTGCTAGTTGTTAAGTGAATCACTGCAGTTGATAAGTTAGTAACACAGGTAATAAGTGAATCTGGCTTCCCCACTGATTTTGCTTGTCAAAAGGTTGCAAAAGTTGATTACATGACCTCGGCACACTGCAACTGTCATAAATATATGCCAGTTGCCAAGTGTCCAAATTTTGATCATGTGATCATGAGTCTTAAGTGTGAAAAATGGTCATAAGTCACTTTTTTCAGTGCCGCTGTAACTTCAAACGGTCACTAAATGAATGGTTGGAAGTCATAGTAATCTATACCTGAGCATTCTACTCAAATGCTCAGAAAGTCTTCCTGGAATTATGAGCACATAAATTGCAATAATAAATATAAATTAATAAAATATTATCATGCAAAGACTTTTTTATATTCAAGCAATACAATTAAGTCGTACTACAAACTAGAATTTTATTTTCCACTTATAACTCAGCAATGCGGATTACTCAAAGAAAGGATTCTCAGTCATTTCAAATCCTGTGCATTATCTATTCCCCAAACTGCTAAAATCACACAAGATTTTTTTCAGATTCACATGAGATTTGCTAGTCAGCTAACTAAAGTATGTAGGAAGCACATAGTAATGGGGGAGTTTAACTATCCTGACATCAACTGGGAGACAAACTCTGCACCAAGTGGAAGATCAATCAGATTCCTTGCAAACCTAGCAGACAACTTTGTCTCCCAAAAAGTAGAGAAGGGAACTAGGGGATTAGTCATTTTGGATCTAATTCTCACTAACAGAGATGAAATAATAGGTGTTGAAGCCACAGGAACCTTGGGAGGAAGTGATCATGCAATATTGGAATTCAGCATTATGGAAGCACAAGCAATAGAACACAGTCAAACTAGAGTCTTGGACTTTAAGAGAGCTAATTTCAATAAACTTAGAGAGGGCTTGGGAAGGATTCCATGGATGAGAATCCTCAAGGGGAAAACAATTCAAGAAAGCTTGGGAAATTTTGAAAAGTGAGATAATAAAAGCCCAGTCTAGCACAATACCAACAAAGAGGAAAAATAACAGCTCTCAAAAGAAACCAGCATAAAGAACTCTCTGATCAATTGAAAGATAAAAAGGACAAGTATAGAAAGTGGAAAGAGGGGCACATAACTAAGTCAGAATATCAGCAAATAGCCCGAGCGTGCAAAGATGAAGTGAGGAAAGCCAAGGCTCAAAATGAACTAAGGCTTGTGACCAAAGTCAAAAATAACAAAAAAAGCTTCTTTCAACATGTAAAAAACAAGAAAAAAGTGAAGGAAATGATTGGTCCATTAATGGGTGAAAGTGGCAAGAAGGTGACAAGCAACAGGGAGAAAGCAGAACTATTTAACTCGTTTTTTGCATCTGTCTATACACAAAGGGAAAAAACAGACCAACCTACCAAAAATAGTGCCATAAAAAACAGAATAGAAACACAAGTTAAGATAGACAAGAAAATGGTAAGTGAGCACCTGTCCAGACTAGACGAGGTCAAATCACCAGGACCAGATGGATTATACCCCAAGGTTCTCAAGGAACTGGCAGATGTGATCTCAGAACTATTGAACTATATTTTTCAAAGATCCTGGAGCACTGGGGAACTACCAGAGGACTGGAAAAGAGCTGATGTAGTTCCCATCTTCAAAAAAGGGGAAAAAATGGACCCAGGAAATTACAGACCTATCAGTCTGACCTCAATACCGGGGAAGATTCTAGAAAAGATAATCAAACAACGAATCAGCGAACACCTAGAGGCAAACAAAGTCATTACTAAAAGCCAACATGGGTTTGTCAAAAACAGATCATGCCAGACAAATCTTATTGGATTCTTTGACCAAGTGACAAAATTAGTGGATCAGAGGAATGCTGTGGATACTTGGACTTCAGTAAAACATTTGATAAAGTAGATCACAGCCTACTACTTGATAAGATAGAAAAATGTGGGTAAGATAGCATCACCACCAGATGGATCCGTAGCTGACTGACCGGCTGTACTCAGCGTGTGGTCCTCAATAGAACCGCATCTATATGGAGAGAAGTATTTAGTGGGGTGCCCCGGGGCTCTGTCCTGAGCCCAGTGCTCTTCAACATCTTCATCAACAATTGGGACAAGGGGATAAATGGGGAAATCATCAAATTTGCAACCAAACTGGTAGGAATAGCCAATACTCCAGAAGATAGGCTTAAGGTACAGGAGGATCTGGACAGACTTGAACACTGGGCGCTATCTAACAAAATGAAATGCAATGGTGAAAAAAGTAAGGTTCTACATTTAGGCAAGAAAAACCAAATGTACAGGTATAGTATAGGGGGTACCTTGCTCAATAGTAGTAACTGTAAGAGGGACCTCGAAATCCTAGTGGACAATCACTTAAATATGAGCCAACAGTTTGCTGCAGCTGCCAAAAAGGCCAACACAGTGCTAGGCTGCATTAACAGAGGGATAGAATCAAGTTCACGTGAAGTATTAATACCACTTTACAATGCCTTGGTAAGGCCACACTTGGAATACTGCATCCAGTTTTGGTCACCACGATGTAAAAAAGATGTTGAGACTCTAGAAAGAGTACAGAGAAGAGCAACAAAGATTATTAGGGGATTGAAGGCTAAAACATATAAGAAACGGCTGCTGGAACTGGGTATGTCTAGTTTAATGAAGAGAAGGACGAGGGGGGACATGATAGCAGTGTTCCAATATCTCAGGGGCTGCCACAAAGAAGAGGGAGTGAAGCTATTTTCCAAAGTGCCTGAAGGCAGGACAACAAGCAACGGATGGAAACTAATCAAGGAGAGAAGCAACTTCCTGACAGTTTGAACAATTAACCAGTGGAACAACCTGCCTCCAGAAGGGTGAATGCTCCAACACTGGAAGTTTTTAAGATGAGACTGGACAGCCATTTGTCTGAAATGGTATAAGGCAGGGCTTTTCAACCAGTGGTACGGGTACCACCTGTGGTACATTGGCACCTGGCAGGTGGTACGCGACCATCCTAGGAAAGTGGTAGCAGGGGAGGGGAATGAGCTGAACCAGTGGCAGCACCGCACAAGCTTGAACAAGAGATGGCTGGAGCTGCAGGACTGTCAGGGCTCAGCGGAAGCGCCAGGATCAGCGCCAGGCTCTAGCTGGAGCTCAGCGCTGATCCTGGCGCTTCTGTTGAACCCAGAAGAAGTGCCAATCAGCTGGAAAGCAGCACTGATCCTGGCGCTTCTGCTGAGCCCAGAAGAAGTGCCGATCAGCTGGAAAGCAGCACTGATCCTGTTGTTTCTGCTGAGCCCAGAAGAAGCGCTAATCAGCTGGAAAGCAGCACTGATCCTGGCACTTCCGCTGAGCCCAGGAAAAGCGCCGATCAGCTGGAATGTTGCAGCCTCTCCAGGGTCTTGTGATTTACATTCAGATGCTTGGCAAATGATTCATATTTATGACGGTCACAGTGTCCCAGGGTCATGTGAAGTGACCAAAACCTGCCGTAGATGGGGGGGGGAACCAAACACCCCCCCCACCCAATCCCCGCTGCCAATCCTCAACAGAAATGCTCACAACAATGGAAACCTCAGACAGGAGGAAGAGCGCGGCCGGGCGGGCAGGCAGATGTCTTGCTCGGCTGTGGCTTGGGGGGCATTTTTTCAGTGCCACTGCAACTTTGAACAGTCACTAAGTGAACTGTTGTAAGTGGAGGACTACCTGTACTTTATCACTTTTTTCTTTTCTTTTTTTTTTGGTCATCAAGTTTTTGACACCTTGCTAGGTGACTGGTGGTACTCGGATGTTGCCATATACTAAAAGTGGTACAATGAGTGAAAAGGTTGAAAAGCCCTGGTATAGTGTTTCCTGCCTGAGCAGGGGGTTGGACTAGATGACCTCGGTCTCTTCCAACTTTATTATTATTATTATTATTTTGGATCATCGCACAGTCAGCCACATGTTCAGACTGGATTTGGCATTTTGTCTACCTATCGAGTCCTTACCCAGGACCTGGGATAGGCAGATGTGGATGTTTGATGGTATTACAGATATCGTCGCAGGATGGAAGCAGTTCCTAATAAGGCCGCCTTTTGCAATTGACTAATAGCGAATTTGTCAATGCCAATGGTGTTCAAGTGGTGCTCCAGTTGTTTTGGGATTGCACCCAAGGAGCCTATGACTATTGGTACTACCCTTGCTTGCTTTTGCCACAGTCTTTCTATTTCTATTTGTAGGTTTTTGTATTTTGTTATCTTCTCCATTTCTTTCTCGTCTATTATTATTATTATTATCGATCATCGCACAGTCAGCCAGATGTTCAGACTGGATTTGGCATTTTGTCTACCTATCGAGTCCTTACCCAGGACCTGGGATAGGCAGATGTGGATGTTTGATGGTATTACAGATATCGTCGCAGGATGGAAGCAGTTCCTAATAAGGCCGCCTTTTGCAATTGACTAATAGCGAATTTGTCAATGCCAATGGTGTTCAAGTGGTGCTCCAGTTGTTTTGGGATTGCACCCAAGGAGCCTATGACTATTGGTACTACCCTTGCTTGCTTTTGCCACAGTCTTTCTATTTCTATTTGTAGGTCTTTGTATTTTGTTATCTTCTCCAGTTCTTTCTCTTCTATTCTGCTATCTCCAGGCACTGCCACGTCCACTATCCAGACTTTTTTGTCTTTCTTATCGACAATTGTTAAGTCTGGGGTGTTATGTTGCAGGTGCTTGTCTGTTTGAATTCTGAAGTCCCAGAGCAGTTTAATTTTATCATTTTCTATGACTTTCTCTATTTTATGATCCCACCAGTTTTTGCTTACAGGCAAATGATATTTTTTGCAGATCTTCCAATGCACCATTGTTGCTACTTTGTCATGCCGCTGCTTGTAATCAGTCTGTGCAATCTTCTTGCAACAGCTTACCAAGTGGTCCACTGTTTCTTCAGCTTCTTTGCATAGGCGGCACTTACTGTCTGTTGCTGTCTTCTCAATTTTGACTTTGTATGCATTTGTCCTTAAGGCTTGGTCTTGTGCAGCCAGAATTAGTCCCTCGGTCTCTTTCTTCAATTTTCCTGCTCTTAGCCATTGCCAGGTTTTATTGTTATCTGCTTTCCCAGCTATTTTTTTCATGTATTGGCCATGTAGTGCTTTGTCTTCCCATGCCTCTATTCTGTTCTTCATTTGGTCTTTCTTGTAGGCCAGTTTGGTCTCTCCAGTAGTTAGTAAGCCTTCCTGATATACTAATTTCAGTGCATCTTCATCATTGTTCTTCAGATATTCTTCCAAAGCCATTTTTTCTTCTTCAACCATCTGATGTACTTGTAGCATTCCACGCCCACCTATTTGCCTTGGTAGATAAAGTCTATCAATGTCACTGCGTGGATGAAGGGCATGATTCATTGTCATTATTTTTCTGGTCTGCCTATCCATTGCTTTTAGTTCTGCTTGAGTCCAGTCCACTATTCCAGCTGTGTACCTAATGACTGGGATTGCCCAGGTGTTGATTGCCTTTATGGTATTTCCTCCATTGAGTTTGGATTTTAAGATCTTCTTCACTCTCTTGATGTATTCACCTCTAATCTTTTTCTTGACTTCAGTGTGCTTGATGTTGTCAGCTTGAAGGATACCCAAGTATTTGTAGTACTCTTCCTCATCCAGACTCTTAATGTTATTTTCGTGGGGCATCTTGATTCCTTCAGTTTTCATATTTTTCCTTGTTTGATAGTAAGTGTGGCACATTTGTCCAAGCCAAACTCCATTACAATATCTTGGCTATATATACGGACAGTGTTGAGCAGCGATTCTATTTCAGATGATGTTTTTCCATACAGCTTCAGATCATCCATATAAAGGAGGTGGGATAGTCTGGCAGATGTTTTTGATGTTTGATAGCCATGTCCTGAGTTATTCAGTATTGTTGACAGAGGAAACAGTGCAATAACAAATAGTAATGGTGATAATGAATCTCCTTGAAATATTCCTCTCTTGATATTAACCTCTCCCAGCCTCTCACCATTGATCTGCAACTGTGTCTTCCATTGTGCCATCGATCTTTGCACAAATTTTCTGATGTTTCTACTGACTCCTGTTATTTCTAGGCACTTTATTATCCAATCATGTGGCAGAGAGTCAAATGCCTTTTTGTAGTCAATCCATGCCACATTCAGGTTGGTCTTCCTTCTCTTGCAGTTTTCCAAGATCATTTTGTCTATTAGGAGTTGATCTTTTGTTCCTCTGCTATTGGGGCGGTTTCCTTTCTGCTCAGGTGGAAAGAGATTGTTTTCAACTAGATGCTGTTGTACTGCATCAGCTACTACACCAGTTAGTAATTTGAAAGTTGTTGGTAAGCAGGTAATTGGCCTGTAGTTACCTGGTGTTGCCCCTTTTGCTGGATTTTTCATTATTAGGTAGGTTTTCCCAGTTGTTAGCCACTTTTCAATTTCTCCTCCTTGTAGTATATTGTTGAACTGTTTGGCAATGAGTGGGTGTATAACAGTTAGATGTTTCAACCAAAACCCATGCAGTTCATCTTCACCTGGTGCTGACCAATTTTTGATTTTCTTTGCTCTTTTTTCTACCATTTTTGTTGTTATTACTAGTTCTTTCATTTCAACTTCTGTTTTATTTGCATCCACCTCTTTTAACCAAGCCGCATCCTTGTTGTATTTCTTTGGGTTATCCCATATCTGCTTCCAGAACTGCACTGTTTCTTCCTTGTCAGGTACTGACTGATTCTTTGCAGTTTCTCCATTGATGGATTGGTAGAAACGTTTCTGATTGGATTGAAATTGGAGGTTCTGCCTATAGTTTGCAATTCGAGCTTCATATCTACTGATTTTCCTGGCTATAGCTGTTATTTGTTGCTTTATTATTTCCAGTGCTTCCTTGATCTTCCTTGTTTCTAAGTGGTATTTCTTGATTAGGTATTCTTTGGTCTTCTTGTTCTTCAGCTTCTTTTCTTTCATCTGTTCTAGCTTGCTTGCATGTGATCTTAACTTGCTGATCTTATTTTCTAGTCTAACCTTCCATTTTTCTGGTGCACTGTTTGTTTGTTTTTCTTCTTTGTTGATTTTGCATCCCAGGTATTCTGTTATAACTGCAGCTGTGCTGTACATTAGTTGGTTTGTTTCTTGCAATGAATTGGTGCTTATACTTGATATTGCAATATTTGCATCTTTTAATGCTTGTGCTAGCTGTTTCTTTGGAACAAGCTTCAATGCAGGTAGCCTTATTCTGTTGTTTTTGTGCTGTTCTAGATGCTCAGTTATTCTTTGTTTCAATTCTTTTATTTCTTTAGTTAGAGGGTTTTGTTCTTCCTGAGGTAGAGGTGCCTGGTTTCCAAATGAGAACAGTTGTATATCTCTGCTAGATTCCTTCACTGCCAACTCCCCCTGGTTTGCCTCTACATTCTGAATTACTTCTGGTAAGGCTTTGATTTCTTTGCCCTGGGTAAACCTTTGCAGTTCGTCCAATTCTGTTTCTGTGAATATTTTATTTCGTGTTATAAATCGGCGTTGATCTGCTAGTCTCTGTTCTGTTATTTCTGATTCTGGATGTTGTTCTTTCCAGAACTGGTGCATTCGTTTTAGATATCCTCTTCTTGTTGGACTTGATCTGTAGTAACAGATCATTATTTCTTTGTTTTCCATCACTGTGTATCTGCGACGGGTAAACACCTTTTCTTCCAGTAGTTCTGCAGCTGCTGGCCCTGGTTGCTCAGCCAACAGTCCTGAGTCCTGTAACCCATTTTTCACCAGATATCCAGGAACTCCAATATCTAGTGCGGACCTTGTTAACCCGGGCGACGTCCGAGCCGGTATGGCATTCTGAAATTTACGTCTCACCATATTTTTTATGGGAGAGACACTCTTTGTCTGACTCCTCTGATGAGACCTGTCCAGTATGGTTGAACCTCTAGCATAGCTCTCATCTTCCTCAGAGTACACAAGCCCCACAACCACGTCAAGGTAGTGCCCACTATTATTATTATTATTATTATTATTATTATTATTATTATTATTATTATTATTATTATTATTATCTTATGAGACATAGGAATCAACATTAAATTATGTAAGCAAATCAATGGTTTGACAAAACTTACTTAGAAAGACTACAGGAAACAGGCATATCACGACTCCATTCAATGGGACCATTTTCTGCTTTCTGTACTCCAGATATTGCACCAGAAGGTTTTCCAGTTATAATTTTATACCTTTGAGATATAAGAAATACCATAATCAGCAAACATACTCTATAATCAAAGTATGTAATAGTAATGTGAATTACAAAGCAATTTTAGGCAGCTTTCTAATTCAGAACAACTAATTACATTTCTAAAGAAGTGACATTTTAATTGTTATTGAACCATTTACCAACTATAACAGGAAACAGTTTTTAACTGTATAAATTTGGAACCATTAAAAATTTGAATTAAGTGTTTTTCTTGAAAATTAAAAAAGCTTTTAAAAGTTAATTTTTTCAACAGATTTATATATACAGATAGTGAAACAGGTATCTATGAGACATTACAATGGCAATAATGTTTCTATAGTGCAGGGCTTTTCAACCAGTGGTACGGGTACCACCTCTGGTACATTGGCACCTGGCAGGTGGTACGCGACTATCCTAGAAATGTGGTAGCGGGGGAGGGGAATGAGCTGAACTGGTGGCAGCACCGCACAAGCCTGAGCGAGAGATGGCTGGAGGTGCAGGGCTGTAAGGGCTCAGTGGAAGCGCCAGGATCAGTGCTGCTTTCCAGCTGATCAGCGATTCTTCAGGACTGTCAGAACGCAGTGGAAGCATCAGGATCAGCGCCAGGCTCCAGCTGGAGCTTGGTGCTGATCCTGGTGCTTCTGCTGAGCCCAGAAGAAGCACCAATCAGCTGGAAAGCAGGATTGATCCTGGTGCTTCTGCTGAGCCCAGAAGAAGCAGTGATCAGCTGGAATGTTGCAGCATCTCCAGGGTCTTGTGATTTACATTCAGATATTTGGCAACTGATTCATATTTATGACAGTCACAGTGTCCCAGCAGATGGGAATAAAAACCAAACCCCCCCCACCCCCGCTGCAAATCAACAGAAATGCTCACAACAATGGAAACCTCGGACAGGAGGAAGAGCGCGGCCGGGCGGGCAGGCAGGTGTCTTGCTCGGCTGTGGCTTGGGAAGCACTTTTTTCAGTGCCACTGTAACTTCGAACAGTCACTAAGCGAACTGTTGTAAGTCGAGGACTACCTGTACTTTATTACTTTTTTCCTTTTTTTTTTGGTCATCAAGTTTTTGACACCTTGCTAGGTGACTGGTGGTACTCGGATGTTGCCATATCCTAAAAGTGGTACAATGGGTGAAAAGGTTGAAAAGCCCTTCCATAGTGGATTATAGCCAGTAATGATAGAGATCTTTCTATTTATAATGTGCACAGAGATCCATTAAAACAGGGGTCCCCAACCTTTCTGGGGAGGGGCAGGCACCTTTATGTGCTATGTGCACACATGCAAATGTGCTGTGTGTGTGTGCGCGCACAAAAAGGGCCATGAGCATGCGTACTCCGTAAATGGGGCTGGTACGCTGGCTCACAGCTTGGCTAGTGCTGGCGTGTGGCTTGCAGCTTGGCTAGCGCTGGCGAGAATCTCATGACTCAGCTAGCGCCGGCTCACAACTCGGCTAGCACCAGCACCAGGCTTCTGGCTCGGCTAGCTCCGGCGAGAGGCTTGCGGCTTGGCTAGCCCCCCAGTGCAACAAGGGTGAGTGCGTGCACATAGCCAGCCACTCACGTGGCCTGGTGGCCAAGAGACCATGGCCAGGTAGTGTTCTGTGGCCCATTGGTTGGGGAGCTCTGCATTAAAAGGAAGGGAAGAGATAATCTCTACCGATTTCTTTTTCATCTGCAGCCCCCACATCATGTCCTGTTCCATTCCATACCTGCTTATATGGGACTAAGGAATCGGTAAAAATCAGATCCATTTTTCATTCTTGTAATGGAAACATTTTGTAAGTAGAATTCCATTTGTAAAAAATGAGGATCCAACTGAGGATCATTTGTTTGCCTCAGTCATCTATATAAAGCGCTGAAACAACATGAACAGTCACGCAGAGAATCAGAGAGAACAAACCGTCAACTACCTCCCTTCCGGATGAGTAGGAGGATAAAAGATCTGGGTCCCTTACCTATGGAATGGTAGGGTGTCACAATGAGTGGAGATATGGAAGTACAAATGGGACCCATCACAAGATCAAGGGAAAGACAGCAGACCAACGTGACTGGTGTCATGCACACAGCGGGAGAACTACCAACTGGTGCGGCTGCGCAGCTTGCAGATGGCATGGCCGGGTGGGACAACAGGAGTAATCCGGCAACAATGCCAGATAGCAGCGTACTGCAGGATGGACGTGACTGCCAGGCGGGAGGGAAAACAGCAAAACCAAAGCAGATGCCGGCCAGCGCAGCAGAACCAGGATCGATACAGTTAACTATGGTAAAGCGAGGGGCGGGTAGACCTGTGACATGCTCGACAACTAGATTGTTAACATCTAACCAGCTATAAGAACAAGCGCCTCCAGATACTAGCTCACATTTTGATGTCAACAGTGGTTTGACGAAAGCTTAATTATTAATAAAAGTTTTTTGTTCCAGAGATCAAGTGGTTTTAGATTTTATATATATGTATATATATATGTATACGTATATCCAAATTTCTTTTTTGTTGAAAAAGAGTTAAATGGAAGACTAGAATAGCTATTTCGAGCTTATTTTGCTCTCATCAACTAGCCATACCCTCTATGGCAGTGGCTCTCAACCTTCCTAATGCTGTGACCCTTTAATACAGTTCCTCATGTTGTGGTGACCCCCAACCCCACTTCCAGCTGGCTGGGGGGGGGGGCAGGAAGGCCGCTCTGCTGGCTCCGCCCAGCCTGATTGGAAAAGCGCCAATCTCCCTTTCTTTCCTTTGTCTCTCTTTTCTCTTTCTCTTTCCTTTCTTTTCCTGTTTCTCTTTCCTCTTTCTCTCTTTCCTCCCTTTCTTTCTTTCCTTTCTTTTCCTGTTTCTCTTTCCTCTCCTTCTCTTTCCTCTCTCTTCTCTCTCCCTTTTTCCTCTTTCCCTTTCCTTTTTCTTTCCTCTCCCCGTTTCTCTTTCCTCTCTCTCTCTCTCCCTCTCTTTCTGTTTCCTCCCTTTCTCTTTCTCTCTTCCCCCCTTCTCTTTCTCTCTCTCTTTCCTCTCTCTTTTCCTGTTTCTCTCTCTTTCCTCTATTTCTCTCTCTCTCTCTTATGGCAGCATCGTCGGGGGTCCCCGCCGCCCCAGGCCCGGCCTCCACCACGTCCTCAGCTGAACGGGCAGGGAGGGGGAGCAGGACGAGAGGCAGTGGCTGCAGCGGCCACTGCTGCATCGTCAGGGGTCCCCGTCACCCCCGCCCCGGCTGCCGCCCCACCTCCATCAATGGAGCCGCAGTGGGGGCTGGTGCCACGCAGCCCGCCAGCCCGGCTGCTCCCCCTAGGCACCCCTCTTCCTCCCAGCGCCCACCCGAGCCACCTTGGGGGCAGCAGGAGGAACGAGAGAAGGGTGAGAAAACCGCCGCCGCCGCCCCAGCCAGGACTCCGCGCTGCCTGGCCTCATCCTCCGCCCATCCGATGGAGCCGCGGTGGGGGCTGGTGCCGTACGGTCCCTGCCAGCCCCTCCGCCAGCCCAGCTGCTCTCCCCCAGGCAAGCAGCGCCCCAGTGCCCGCCCGAGCCGCCTTGGGGGCAGCAGGAGGAAGAAGGGGAGGAGGAAGAGGAGGGCAAGGAAGCCGCTGCCAGCGCTGGGCCCCAGGAGGCTGCTCTCCTCTCCTACCTTTGCTGAATCTCCTTCTTCCTTCCCGGCAGCCTGGACTCCGGCGTGCCTTCCTGGCCAGGGGGTCCAATGGTCGGGCTGGCTGGAGATTGCAGGGGCTGGTCTCCCTTGGCCGCGGCTTGCGGGAGGGCTGGCCCGCTCAGTGGAGCCTCCAGCGGGCCGCTCCCAGCAGGGATCCTGGGGCTTCCCTGGGTGGCTCCACGGCCACGAGGCCCTGGCCGCGCTTCTCCCAGGGGGTGGGGCACCTGGGCGCAAGGCCAATCAGGAGCCCTGCAGGAGGTAAGTCTGCCTGAGAGAGAGATAGAAGGGAAGCGAAAGTGCCTCTCTGTCTCTCTCTCTCTGCAAATGGTGGAGGAGGCCATGCGGAGAAGGATGCGGAGCAGTGTCTCGGTTCCTAAGATCATTGGAAATATGTGTTATCCAATGGTCTTAGGCGACCCCTGTGAAAGGGCCGTTCAACCCCCAAAAGGGTCGTGACCCACAGGTTGAGAACCGCTGCTCTATGGGATTCGAACCAGGGCAGCCTGCATGCTGGTTCAAATCCCACAGAGGGTCTGGCTAGCTCAGTGGTTCTCAACCTGTGGGTTGGGACCCCATTTGGTTGGGCGACCATTTCACAGGGGTCGCCAAACAACGCAGTCTGCCATTTTTTTCCCCCTTTTCCTTAGCTGTGCTACTCCCTTTTATTCTATTGACTTTTGAAAGCCAATAGAATAGACTCTCTTGAATAGAATCTAATTCTATTGGCTTTCAAAAGCCAATAGGAATTGTCCAGGCTGTCTCTGCCCTGCTGAGCCTGCCAAAAGTCCCATTCTGCAAACGGTGCTGCAAGTTGTCTGCAGCGAAGGTGAGCTGCCTGGAAGCTTCCACCCCTCCCTGCTGAGCAACTACTAAAAATGTAAGTAAAAAAGGGCCAGGGGTGGGAGGTGGGAGGCCGACGGGCGCAGGGAGGGTTGCTGGCACGCGTGGGGCCCGGCGAGTGCCTTACCTCCCTTGGGCTGGGCCAGCTGGTGGCCCAGCTGGTGGTCGGCCTGCGCTGTCTCTGCCGCTTGCCAGCTACGCCTCGGCCGGCGCAGGGGGCGGCACCACACATGTGCGGCGCTCCCGGGCAGTGAAAGTCCTCGACTTACGACCGGTTGGGTAGTCCTCGACTTACGACTGGTTGGATAGTCCTCGAATTACGACCGGTTGGGGGTCGCGACATTAAAAAGGTTGAGAACCACTGGGCTAGCTGATGAGAGCAAAATAAGCTTGAAATAGCTATTCTAGTCTCCCATTTAATTCTTTAACTCTTTGTCAACAAAAAAGAAATTTGGATTTGTAATGTATCGCAGTAACGACTTGAGCCTGCTTAACACCCCTAGTTTGGGGGGGGGGCTGCAAGGCAAAAGTGATTATAAGTAGAACTGCAGTATAGCAATCAAAATACCAAGGTGCATCAATCAGACTGGTCTGTCCAAAAAAAACTTTCTGTATATGTTTGTGTGTGTGTGTGTGTGTGTGTGCGCGCGTGTGTGTGTTATGTATGCAACAGAAATTCATTTTTAATGTGTGCCAGTGTGCCCTCAGTAAAAAAATGACAATAAAGGTTATTTTATCTATCTTATCTTAATATTGTAAGAATACAAGAATGTAATAGAATCCCCAAAGAAAATGTTTCTAGAAATTGTCTACTTTTTTCTCAAATTTCATGTAGACAATTTAGTTGGTAGTTGGTGACAGAACATTTCTTCTGAATTACCTACATCACTTCCTTATTTCTACGTGGCCCTTCAAAAGGTCGAAATGGTAGACTTCCAGTTGCAGCATGATAAAAAGTCACTCCAATGCTCCACAGGTCAACTGTTGCTCCATACTTTTTTTGGTGGTCCTTCCGCAATACTGCTCGCTCATACATGTCAGGATGCTTGGGTACAAAGAGGGAAACAATATACGATATAAAAACTCTGTGGATATATTACAGAGAGCACCAGAGGCCATAGCTTTCTAGATACTATTTTCTGTAAAACAGTATAAAATTCTACTGGGTGAAATTCTACAGGTTTGAGTATTTTATTTCACATAAATGAATTAATAGCAGAATACAAATTAAATAAAGCAAACAAGATTTGCCATAAACAGAAGCTACTGACTGTTATATAAAATCACCAACTTACTCTGAAAGACGTTTTCTAAACTAAAACAAACTCTAATATGAACAAAGTTACCAGTGTATATCTTTAGCAGCAGTTATCTTGTCAAAAGGAGGAATAATTAAAATAAATTTGTTCACATTAATTTTTAATTTTCTTCTCTACATAAATGAAATGAGGGAGATTTTTTTAATGGGATACTTTTTTTGTAGAATGTTTGGTAGGCTTGTTTGGAGTTTCAGTTGTGATAAATTTTGTATAAAACACCTTTTTGATTGATCTGTGCATTTTAAAATATGATACTCAGGATGTGTGATTTGATCCCAGACTTTTAAAAACTGATATATAATTTGGTTTGCTTGTTGTTTGTGAATCATCTATTATACCATAGTATTATTTCAAACCAATAATTATGGTTTGTTTAATAAACTAAAATCTGTTTAATAAATTAAAATTTCTATTTAGGAGTCATTAGCAAAAGAAAAAACATTGCACTTACCAAATATTCTTCTGTTCCATAGAGAGAGACAAACTGTTCATCATCATCCAACTCCCTAGCAGCCCCAAAATCTGTTAGCTTATAAACTGATTGACCATCTTCACCTATAACACGCATGATATTGCCTGGTTTGATGTCACGATGCACTATTCCATTTTCTCGAAGATGGTTCATACCAGCCACTTAAATATAAACAATAAATTAAAAATAAATATCTGCAGATTACAAAGTTATGTAGGCTTGATAAGAAACATGGTACCATATTACAACTGTAGGATATTTGTATCTTATTTTCAATTATTTTATTTCAACATGAATAAATGCCAAGAAGGAAAACTTTGGTTTTGCAAGAGATTATAGCAAGCCAATTTGGGTTGTAAGACTTTTGCATATGATAAATATACAGTACAGACATTTTTACAATAAAATGAAAAATAAAGAAAGCATATAACAAGTAAACCAAGTTTTACAGACATCTAAACATCTTCAGCAGCCTTTCAAAGCAGAGAATTTCAAATCTAGATATTTTCAGAGTAGTCTTGCTCTTTTTTTATCGTACACTGAAAGTATCTTTTGGAGAGGAAGGTACCTGCCAGGACAAATTCCTGCAGTTTTCTTGAATTTTTATGGAAGTGGTTTTTCATTGCCTGTGTCTAGAATTGAGAGAATATGACTTGTCCAAGGTCACCCAGATGGCTTTGGGCCCAAGGCAGGACTAGAACACATGGTCTCTTGATTTTTATCCCAGAACATTAATCACTAAACAAACTGGTTCTCAAATATACTTCTAGTACTGTATAAACAGTGGTGGGATTTAGCTGGTTCGCACCAGCTTTTTTTTCTCATAGAACGCCCAGAATGGAGTGCTGGCACTTTTTTTGGATGGAACCTTGTAGGGTAGGCAAGGCGGGTTGTATGACATGTTTGAGTTCTGGCACCTTTTTTTTTTTTTTTACAAAAAAAGCACTCGGCAGAACCGATACCTAATGTATCTTGAGTTCGGCAAACCAGTTGTTAAAATGGCACTTGAAAAAAGCAGAGTCCGTGTGCGCATCTACCTCGCGCTTGCCCCACGTCCACCATGCTCTCCACAGCGCACTGCAGCTGATCTGAGGCTGCCGGCCAGGCACAGAAGCGCTGTCGAAAACAGTGGAGTCTGTGTGCACGCCTGCTATGCATTCACCTGTCATGTCGCGAGGATTGTCGTGCCGATCACACCGGTTCCACCACTCGTGGCAGGAAGCTGTAAGGCTTATTGCGCTGATTGTGCGCTGAGCCACAGAGCCTCATGCAGCAATCGGAGTCACTGGTGCAATTGGCACCCAACAGGAGGCACCTCCACCCTTGCCACAGCTCTGCGGCAGCCTGAATCCGGGACCTATGGAAACCCAGGAGGAGCCTGGCAGCAACTTGCCCACACTTTCCTTGATCCAGAGGGCTTGGAGCCGGGATGCCTCTGCCAATCAACAAGAAGCCGAGCCACAAGCGCCGCAGCAGCAGTCTAGCCAAAATTGGCACCACCAAAGCCGGCCTGGTGCCTAGCAGGAATCTGCACTGCCCACCTCCACCCATGTCTCTGCCTGCGTGCTCAGCCTGCTACCCCTGAATTCTAGCTGGGTGATCGATTTAGCGAAGACACAGGGGGGGGGGGATTGCTGCAGATTCCCCGTAAATGAGGAGCTGGCGAAGGAGGAAGGTGAGTGGCAGCCCCTGCAGCAAGAAGGACTGCCGAAAAGAGCAGTGTGTGACGGATGAGCGCATAGCAGGCACGCATGACTCCGCTGTTTTCAGTGGCTCTTCTTGCCGCTGGGGCTGCCGCTTGCTTCTTCCTTCACCAACTTCTTGTGCGTGAGGAGGAAGGCAATCGGCAGCCCCAGTGGCAAGAAGGGCCGCCGAAAACAGCGGAATCTGTGTGTGTGCCTGCTACAAACTCACCCGTCAGCCATGCTCTCCGCGCCTTGGATCAGCTATAGTGCGCCGTGGAGAGCATGGCTTATTTGGGCAAGGCAGGCACATACAGAGACTTCATTCTTTTCGGCAGCCCTTCTTGCCGCTGGGGCTGCTGACTGCCTGCCTTCTTCACCAACTTCTCATACACAGGGAATCTGCACCGCCCGTCATCCCCCCCGTCCCTTCGCTAAATCGATCACCCGGCTAGAAATGAGGTTTAGCGGGCTGAGCATGCAGGCAGAGGCACAGGGGGAGGTGGGCGGTGCAGACTCTCCGTGCATGAGACCGGGTTTTTTTTTCCCCTGCTGCCAGATTTTCACTGCCATACTGTTTAAGTTTCTTTAAAGTTTACTTGATGCAGAACGGGAAGGATCTGCATTCTGTATTAAGTAATCTTTAAAGAAACTTAAATAGTATGGCAACGAAAATCCGGCAGCGGGGAAAAAAACCCGGTGTTTTGAGATGCCAGACTGTCCTGCATTCATGCGCTTCCAATACCCTTGCTTGCTGCAAAGCCAAATTGGCGTCCTCGGGCCGCTCCTTCCAACCCATTTCCGAGCCAGTCCAAAAGCGAAGGGAATGTTCCCACCCCATCCAATCGCTTCAGAGCTTTGTTTCCAAAAACCCTTTGACAGGCTCTGGACAAACTGAGATCTAGGACTGAAAAAGCAGCAAGGGAGCAAGGAGAAAGTGGAAGAAGTCACTACCGAACTAGCGAGGCGTGACAGGTGTTGGGGTATGATAGGCCTGGCTGTGGAGGCCCTTTGGCACGGTAAGTGGGAAGATAGGGCAGCTGCCCCCCCCCACCTGCCTCGTTGCAGCACCCATTTCCCCCCCTGCAGAGAACAGGTTGTTAAATTATTTGAATCTCACCACTGTGTATAAACAACAAATCCTTCCAATCAGTTTTATGGAACAATAATGTCTCTTGCTGAGCTGATTAAGCTTTTGAGATCAGCAGTCTGATTTGGGCCCAGAATAATAATAATTTTGATTCCAATCATTTATCTGCCATATTTTGGACTAGCTGCATTTTTAGTCCATTCTTTAAAATGTAGTTCCAGATAGCATTCATTCTATCTAAATATATCTAACCTGGTCTGCATCAGCTTTGCCAAAAGAGGCCTACAACTGGTGCAACAAAATTAACGGAGTCAGAATGTACATGGCCACTGTGGGAACATGTTATTTGTAGTTTTACATATTACAGATAAACTTCTGTTACACAGCTTGGAAAATGTGCGCCCACTGCAGTTAAATGAAACTGTACTCAAATTGTTATTTTATAAATCAAGCATATTCTAATTAAGTTAAGTAGATGAATATTGAATGCCAAAAAATAAAATCATACACTAGACTACATAGTATATTTTAACTTTAGGCCCTTAGGTATTATTGGACCATAAATCCTAAAATGAAAATAATAATCAAAAGAATAATTGGAGGTTAAAAGTTGGAACAAGTACAATAAACATATATCTAATGATGTAACTGTCAACATACCAACATCTCTCAATACAATTAAAAATTCTGTTTCCGGCAATCCATAAGCATTAGATGGCTCTTCCAAAACTGTATATAAACTGCCACATGGACAAAATTCCATAACAAGGACTTTATGTCTAGAGGTTGTCTAGGGAAAAAAGTTTTAATTTATATTAAAGACTTTACAAAATCAGAAATACAGTGAAGTATATATTATGCCTTAGATTAATGAGCTAACCTATATCCAAATCTATAAGACTATTTATATAATTTAATTATGAACTGAAATGTAATTAATTTTATCATGTAATTCTGCACAAACAATATCAGAAAAGGCTTAGCATTACAAAACTTAGTGTCTCTGGCTCCTTTCGATCTTCTGAATTTGAGAAACTTTCAATTTTATTTCATATTATGATAGACTATCATGTTGTTTGAATCCAACCAAATTCTTATTGTTCTTAAGTAAGATTAATAAAAGAAAGTCAATGTAAAAATTTCATTTCCTTTCGTTAAGCAGTTTAGGGCAGGGGTCAGCAACCTGCGGCTCCAGAGCCGCATGCGACTCTTTCATCCCTCTGCTGTGGCGCCCAGTCCTCCGCCACCTAAAAAAAAAAAGTTCAATCAATCAATTCCAAGTTCTCACAAAAAAAAAAATGATCTCATGAAGTTGGAATTGATTGATTGAACTTTTTTCTAGTCCCACAAACAAAAGAAGTTTGTGGGACTGCCCACAAGCTTCTTTTGTTTGTAAGACTGCACATGGTAATGGAGTAAGTGATGGAGGACCGCGTCGGAGCTGGAAAGAAGGTGCTGTGTGGGTCTGATTGGGGGTGCAGGGGGGTGTTCTGCCAAACATCTTGTATGGAGCTGGGGAAATGGGCCGGGTGGGGGGAGCTGCCAATTCTGCTGCCATGAGCCTTGGCAGATCCCTGCCAGTGGCCATGATCCCCCCAGCCAGCCAGCCAGCATCGCCTGACCTACCCCTCAACTGGCCGGCCAGCTGGCACAGAACCTCACCGCTCTTCTCCTCCTTGTTCTGCTCCCCACTCTACTCCATCCGAGTTGAAGAAAGTGGAGGCGCAGCAGCGGGATTTCTCCCAATAAAGTGGGCACACACGAGTGAGCAGCGCACCCGGCTCTTATTGTTTGAGACCAATCTTCCTGCTGCACCTCTTCTTTCTTCAATACAGATGGAGCCGAGGAGCCGCTGGGGGCCTCTTGAGTGGGAAGGACAAGCTTTGCTGTTGGGCCATGCCTGGGCTATGCCCTGCCACTGCCTCCCAAACTCCACCTTTGCTGCTGGGGAAAGCCACAGTGGCAGGGCGCTCCGCACAGGGGAGGTAGAAAGGAAAAGCGGTGGCAGGGCATGGCCCATGTGGGGGAGGTAGGAGGGAAAAGCGGTGGCAGGGCGTGCTCTGTGCGGGGTAAGTAGAGGAAGAAAGCAGCGGCAGTGTGCTCCGCGTGGGAGGGGGTAAGCAGCAGCAGTGGTGGAGTGCTGGGAGAGGGAAGCAGCAGGGTTTCTGGCTCCCGGTGTTTTCTTTTCTGTGGGAAAGTGGTCCAAATGGCTCTTTGAGTGTTTAAGATTGCCAACCCCTGGTTTAGGGACTATGAAAGATACATTAATCTATAGTCAATGTAAAGCATGTGCAAATTTTCTAATCTCTTTCTTGTGGGCATTCCAGAAGAGGAAGCAGGGAGATTAAGTTCATTTACATAACATTACATTATTATATTTCAACATGTCCTCATGAATCTCAGAATAAAATTAAGAAAGTGGTATATTGAAATCTAACAATCAAAATGCAAAACATGAATTGCTCTTTAGTAAAATATATGCACAATACATAATAATTACCTCTTCTTCTATGGCAAATAATTTGACAATGTTCTTGTGATTTAGTTTCTTTAACACTTCAAACTCCCTCATCTGAACATCCACTGGACGAAGGAAACTAAAGTTATTAAATACTTTGACAGCATACAAGTCTCCAGTTTTCTATAAGAAACATTAGGTTCGTTTAGAAAAAGCCCAGAATCATTAAAATGATCATCTCTGTAAAACAATTTGTTCCTGTCCATTTAAATTTTAATATTAATGACATTTTTGAAAATATTTCATGGAATATTTATTTGACAAAAGTTACAATATCCCTATTATTAAGACACATCTGCTTCACTTGTGATAAGTAAGGCAGTGGTGGCGAACCTTTTAGAGACCAAGTGCCCAAACTGCAACCCAAAACCCACTTATGTATCGCCGGGTGGGCGTGGCCCGCTGGGTGAGTGTGGCTATGGTGGTCATGGCAGATTGGGTGAGTGTGGCCAGGGTGGGCATGACCAGCTCGATGTTGCTTCTGGGGAGGGATGCCTGTGGGGGCCGGGCAGGGTTGAAGGAGATCCAGGGGGTCTCTGGCAGGTGGGGCAGTGGACAGGAGGGTGTCTTGCTCAGCTGATGGCTTGGGGGGAAGGGGGCAGCTACACCTCCTTCCAAACACTGCCATCTCTCCCCCTCCAGGCTGGGGCTGGTCAAATTTTCCCCGTGGGCAGCGCTGTGCCCATCCCCGGCCAGCCCTCCTCCTCCCACCCTCCTGCGGGCAAACTGCAGCTTACTGAGCTGGGGAGCGCCTCTCCCCGCAAGTGTCCTCAGGCGGAGGAGCTGGACAGCCGCAGCTCTCGCTCCCCTCCAGTCTCCATCTGCCCGAGGCCCGAGCTCAACGCACCGGTCTGGCCGGTGACGGGCTGGAGAGAACGGGACGGCGGCAGCTGCCCCGGGACAAGGGGTGGGCGCTCCCAATGTCTGCAGGGGAAGAAGCAGCATGGAGGCTCCCGTGCCCAGTCCAGCCCAGCCCCTGCACAGCACGGCAAGTGAGGCAGCACATGTGTCCAACCCAATCCTGGCGGAGCTCCGTTCTTCTGCTGCTTCCCCCCAACCCGCCGCATGGATCATGCTGCCACTGCCACTTGGAAAAGGCCTCTGCCGCCTGGAACGAGCCATTGGGATGCTGCAAAAAGGCCTCTGCCATCCGGAATGGCCATGGGGAGAGCACAAAAAGGTCTCTGTCGCCCAGAACGGGCCACTGGGACACCGCAAAAAGGCTTCTGCCGTCCGGAATGGCTGTGGGGGGCGCAAAAAGGCCTCTGCCACCCAGAACGGCCGTGGAGGGACGCGATAAGGCCTCTCCCGCCCGGAACGGCCGTGGAGGGAACACAAAAAGTCCTCTGCTGCCCAGAACGGGCCGCTGGGATGCCGCAAAAAGGCCTCTGCCACCCAGAATGGCTGGGGGGGGGGCCGTGAAATTGTTCTGCAGGCATAAATCCGGGCGGCAGAGGCCTTCTCCAGGCCTCCGGAGCCCAGATCGCTGGGGTGCCACAAAATCGCTCTGGAGGCATACCTGGACTCGCGCTGGCAGCTGCTTCCACCATCCAGCCCTGATCCACCCAGCTCTTGCAGCTGCTCCGACTCCCAGTGCAGAGAGAAAGAGAGCGAGAGCATGGTGTACGTGGAGAGGTGGAGGGGAGTAGCTTGGCCCCGCCTCCCTCTGGGGCGATGCTGCGCGTACCCACAGGGACAGCTCTGCATGTCGCCTGTGGCACGCGTGCCATAGGTTCGCCACCACTGAAGTAAGGTGATAAATGCCATTCAATGTGAGAAATTAAGAAAAGATTGTTATGTTGAGCCTAGGCAAAAATCTTTTCAGGTGGCAGAATTCTATTTTTATACAAACCTTGTGTCGTCCACGGAAAACATTTGCAGTAGCTCCTTGTCCCAGGATATCTGATAGAAGCCACAGATAATTTGATGTACTCTGCATATTTGCTCCCAAATAGTGAAATCTTATTAGGATTGAAATACAAAACATAACTTCATGAATTAAGTTGCCAATATGTCCAAGACAATATATGAACTATTCTTATTTTAGATCTATAAAAAATATTCCTGTAAGATATTTTTAACTGACATCAGAAATAGCTTTTCTCCTGTTCATATAAAAATACAAATACTTAATAATTCTAACTTAAACAAGTTGCTGCAAGGGTATTTACTTTTGTATTAAAAACTGAAGAATAAAAAAGCATAAACTTATTGTGTGGGTATAAATACCTTATTTTCTAAATAGCAAGCACTTGGACCATGTACTGTATATCACAACACACACTCATACTTAAAGTATTTAGCCATCATAAAATTCCCCTGAACTAACCTTGACTCCTGCTGACTGACATGTTTTCTTGGCAACAATACTGCTTTGTCATTGCTTTTTTTCAGGATGTTGCTTAAATTACCCAATCTACTATAGTTTACAACCATACAACTTCTCCCATTCAAATACTAACCTGATCTAAACCTGCATAGCTTTCTCAAGATCAGTTTCTCAAGATGTTGCCACCTGCTGTTACCAAAATTTTATACCTTTATGGAATTAACATGGAGAAACATGCTTTTTTCAAACATAGAAATAATTATCAATGCTATATAGTAATCTGCATCTGCTGATCAGTAACACTATTAATAAATAATATAAAAACAGTATAAATATGGAAACATGCATAAGAAACGGAATAGTTAGAAAATTATTCAACAGTGAGCAGTACAAGGAAATTCAACAATGAAATCTGATATCCGCTTAATTGCTTAATATTAATAGATAAAAGTAGAAAATATTCTATAATGACCTAAGTCATGTGTTGCTTAAGGATGTATACACTTTTGTATATTGATAATGCCATGCTGTTGGCTGAGAAAAGTGAATATACACAGTAAATATTAGAGTATGCGATAAAAGGACTAAAGATGAAAATTAGTATATCAAATGCTAACATATTTACTTTATTCAGTCAAACTTACAGGCCACTTTAAACTTGCAATACAGTTGTTTTTGATAATGAAAACTGAGTGGCTGATTGTAAACATAAATTATGTAAAACTAGAGGGAATTTTGATAGAATTTGGTAGAATGGATGAAGAAAGTTTAAGCTATACAGACACTCATAGAAAGGTATCTGTTAATTTAGGTTCTTTTGTGACACATGAATATTTAAAGGAACAAAAACAGTTGCATATAAAAACATGCTTCTCACTTCTCACTACAGAAACACTAATAGAACATGTCAGACAAAAGATGTAAATTTAATGTAATAGGAGGAGATACCTGTTACACAGCAAGAAAACAGAATCAAGAATAAGGGTTGATGAATGAGGACTAAATGCAAAAGTGAGCGAGCAGTAGAAAGCAAGCAATATGAAATGGTTTAATCTGGTGGTTCTCAATCCGTGGTCCGCAGACCCGAGGGATCATGATGTCATCACAAGGGTCCACGAAAGGCTTAAAACATGTTATGATTTAAATCTTAAGTCTTGGTGGTCCATGGCCATGGTCCGTGGCCACAATAGATATTTACAGGGAGTCCATTGTGAAGAAAAGGTTGAGAACCATTGGTATGGTTCATTCAAGAGAACGAATGAGAACAAAATTGTACAACAATTATGAGGTATGAAAGAATATGCTGAGAGGAGTGAAAACTGAGAAGCTTGGAACCAGACAGAGTTGATGGGAAACTCACACAGAGAAATGAGAAGTTAAAAAACTAAGAGCAATATATAAATCAGCATCTGGACATGGTGAGTACAAGAATGGCATTCAAAGATAGTAAAATATAGAAAGTAATAATGAATGGTTGTTGGTATATCCTAATTTTATTTCTTTTTCCCTTCTCTTGTTTCCTGGCTTAAATTGAGACCAGTCATTAAACAAGGATTACCTGTACCACAAACTGCTAACTTTACAATCCATCTATTTTAGAATCTCCAATCTTTCTGGCTTTGCAGACCAGCAGGAAGTGGGAGAGGGGATGGTTCTCTCGTGCATGCAGTACTATTTATGCAAGCGGTAAGTGTGAGTGCCAACCGCTCAAACAAATGGAGCTTCCCACAGGAGCACAAGTGCCTGCTGCTTGCACAAATGGAGCTTCCCGCAGGAGCGCCCACCACTCATGCAAATGGAGCTACATGAGCTTGTGGTTTACCTCCTCTTGTGCAGCCCAGTTCCAAACAGGCCATGGCCTGGTACCAGGCCGCAGCAGGCAGTTTGGGACTCCTGATCTAGTGCCATCTCAGATAGATTTACTTAGAAGCCATCCTAGGGGAGTAAGGACATATCTAATTTTAATAATATTTTCTATTAAATATATTCTAGCAAATAATAGCAAAAACTTCACATTCTCCATCTATGCTTAGCCAAACGAGAGTCGTTTCAGTTAATAACTTGAATGCTGGTATAAATTAAGCTATAAAAGAGATTTAAATTACTATATAGTGTACATATCTTCTAAAAATGAAATCTATTATTGAACCTGAATCCGGGCTAGTTACACAACAAATGGATAATTTTTTTCTAGAAAATTAAAGAGTTATCACTAGTGTCAACCAGTCTTTATTTTCAGAAGGAGGTCAAACATATTCTTAGGAAAAGAATGCCCTTTTTCAGTGGTGGCGAACCTATGGCACGCATGCCAGAGGCGCACTCAGAACTCTCTGTGGGCACGCGCGCCATTGCCCCAGCCCCGCTTCCCCCCATAGCCCCCTCCTCACCAGCAGCTGCCCCCAGAGGAGAGTCTCCCCCAGGCACAGCCCACGCAGTGCAGCACAGCCAAGGACATGGCAACTGGGCAGAAGGGACAAGACTCCGCATCTCATGCAGATGATGCTGCGGGGTGCGGGTGGAGGGCATGGCTGCCATGGCATTGCAAGGCCACCTGGGTGATCTGCTACAGTAGGCCGTGGAGGCAGTGAGTGGCCCTGCAGGTGGGCGGGGCAGGAGCAGAGCGCGGGCGGGCTGGAGCAGTTTTTGGGCACTCGGTTTCTAAAAGGTTCGCCATCACTGCCCTATTTAGTGTCAGTTCATACTTATGACAGCATTGAAAAAGTAGCTTTACAAATGGTCCTCAAATTTATGGCTACAGCAGCATCTCTGTAGTCATGTAATCGCCATTTGTGAGCTTCATAACAAGCTTCTAAGAGGCAAAGTCAATAGACCTACTGGCAGTAAGTCACAAGTTGCGGGCATGTGATGTCTTGGTTAACAACTTTGGATGATTTGCTTACTGACCACAGAGGAACCAACACTAAATTTAACAGGGTAATATGATGTTTTGCTTAATGACCCTATTGCTCAATAGACTTATTAAGTGAAGACTACATGGTAGTGAAGAAATGTCGAGTACTTCTTTTCCCCAAGATTGTGAATGTGAGAAGGAACACTGATATAATAGAGAACAAGGCTGGAGAGGGTAAAAGAGTGTAAGCAAGGAGATATTTCTCTCAGACATACTTGCACATTTAAGCACATGCTTAAATTTACAACATACCAGTAGAAGTTTATATGCTAATCATCTCTTTCCTTAAAGAGCCCCTGAATTATCTTTGTTATATAATATCATGCTTGCAATAAGGTAATATAAATCCTCCATTACAACACTAAAAGCATGAAAGCTGCTTCTTATAGGCAGGAGATTTCATTATATTATGTATGTTACAATAAGCACCATGCCATGAGAGTCAGAATATGAGACCGATCGCCTATCACAATTCTGGACAACCAAGTGAATCAAGAAAAATAAGGCTTTGCAGCAAGCCATCAATAGGTAGGAACCCGAAGCTAGGTGGATGGAAACTCTAATCCAGGGGTCTTCAAACCTGGCCCTTTTATGACTTGTGGATTTCAACTCCCAGAATTCCTCAGCCAGACATGCTGGCCGAGGAATTCTGGGAGTTAAAGTCCACAAGTTTGAAGACCCTTGCTCTAATCCAACCGACTTGAGACCACCAGGCACAAAGCGATGGAACCGCTTTAGCTGCCGAAAACCTAGAAATAAGCCCTATTACCCAGAAAAGACAAGCACAAACTCGAATCAGTTCCTCAGAGAAGGTTAATTTTGTTTCCTTGGAAAGCTTCCAGAATATGAGTCCCCGGAAGTGGCAGAACCCCGATTTTTCCAAAGCTTTACGAATTTTGCTTCTGAGAGAAGCTTTCATCCACCCCTAATGAGGCGCAGTGCCGGACTTCCCTAACGGAGGCCTACCAAGCTGGCCCCAAATGCCCTTCCCTTCCAAGGGATTTGTCATTCAGTCCTGGCCACGGACGGCTAAACTCCGCGACGCGTTTCCTGGCCCTTTGCTCGTCTTTACCTTCACGCTGTCCAGAGGGTCCAAGCAAAGGCGCGCAGCTTTATCTTCACAACGCCTTCGCCCAATCGTCCCCCCACCCGCGATCGGCGAGCGCGGCAACGATTTGCTCCGCCGCCCCAAAGCCCACTCCGGCTCTCGCTCACCACCCAGCTTTCCTTTCGTTTCCGGCTTCCTGACTACGTAGGAGGCGGAGCGGAGCAGAGAGGCTGTAGCGAGTTGCTGTTTGGTGTACGCCTTCTCTGCAGCCTTGCTGTTGGGATCGTCTACGCTGTATCCCGCGTACAGTGGGAATTGCGACGCACACGTGTTGATAAGTTTGCAGCTTTTATTTGTATTGAAGCAGACACAGAATATGTTTGTGTGGAGTGTATATATCTACGAACATGCATTTTACTACTAAAATAGTTTTTCTTTACACAGGACTTGCTCCCAAGAAAATTTCCTAATCAAAAACGTTATCACATAAAAACATAGAAAGGAAACAATTACACATATTTATAATAGTTTACTTTTTTGTTCGTTCAATCCTGTCGGAAGACGCCCTGACGAGCCACTCTAGTTTTGGCATTTCAGAAGAGATTTGCATTGTCTCCTTCCTAGGGCTGAGAAAAAATGACTAACCAAAATCACCTAGATCAGTGGTTCTCAACCTGTGGGTCGAGACCCCATTTGGGGTCAAATGACCATTTCACGGAGGTTGCCAAACCACGCTGTCCGCCATTTTTTTCCCTTTTCCCTAGCTGTCGTACTCCCTCTTATTGGTGGCCACACCCACTTGGGGGTCACCACAACATGGGGAACTGTATTATGGGGTCACAGCATTAGAAAGGTTGAGAACCACTGACCTAGATGGCTTTGTGCCTGTCTGCCGGTTTATAGCTAATGCTTTAATAACTACGTCAAACTGACTCTCCAGTTGTGTGTGTAGTTTATATATTGGGCATGCGTTCACACAGGATAGTACTTTCATTTTTTCTGGACCTTGATGTATTACGTGTTTACTTAAGTCCTTTCTGCAGTCTTAGCTGGAACAGATTTAATAATCGTATGGTTATTTATTAAATTTGTACATCATCCAATTCCCAGCAGCAGAGTATCGATATTGAGCTGATGATTCCATTTCATCGCCACGCATGCAGAATGCAATCCATGTGTAGTATTTGAGAGCTAAGGTGTTCATAGAGATACATTAAAAAGTGCAGTGACTTAGTGCAATCAATGTAATAAGGTAACTAGCTATAGTAAACCCCTCATAGGGTTCCCAAGAAAATGTGATTGAAAAAAATGTTTCTTTTTTATTTTGCAGTGCGATGCTAAAAGGGGTGAAAATTTTAATGCACTAAAACTCAGCTGCTGTCTTGCCACTTTGCTGTTTTTGTAAATGTCACAAAATATAATTATATAGAAATAAATTGTGAAATTGTACTTTTTATGATTTTACCCAGTTATCAAGCTGTTCTGTTTAGCATTAGTATAAGCATTAGTATTTTACAACATGTCTAATGGTCCAATGTGGTCTTTTTTGAAACTGAGTAAGATGAAAAACAAGGATTATAGTCTTAGTCCTTCAGGCAATATTAACAACCTTCTGGGTCATTTCATTGCACTAGTGCAACAACTAACACAAGTCTGTTTATACAATTAAAGCAGCTTTTTTTTGGATTTTTCAATGACTAGTTATCCAACTATACTATTGTGTTTTTGTAAGATGCTAATTAAAAGACGCAGGTATGTCTTGAGCAGAGGTTTGAAGCTGCAGGACACAGCTTGACAAACTCTGAGTTTCTTGCTTCTTATATACTTATTATAATACACCAGCTTAACCATTAGATGCTGACAAAGGTTTCTTCATTGGAAAATGTCTTCATGTAAGCAACTATTTTCTAGTAACACATTACATGGTCAAAGACCAGGTAAGAACAAATACAGGTAGATCAAAAGGAGAAAGAACTGACAAAGACAGGAAAAGGTAGGAAGGAAGTTAAGCATATTATCTGTTTAGGTAAGTGAGGCATTAAGTCAAAAGTGGATGACCTTCTGGCTGCTTCACTGGGACAAAGGGTATTAAAAAGTTATGAGGTTTGTGGGGGGGAAACTGCCATGCATTTTTCCCCACATCTCACTGTTCTCTATTTTATTAGTGAGGACATTATCCTAAGCTGGAGTGGTTAGTGGGTCTTAGTCAGGGGACATATAACTTTGCATTTGTTTATACAAAACATAACTTGTTCCTGAGGTTAAGTTAATGGTAGTTTAGTATGGAAAATTGAAAGTAGAGAAAAAAAAGACATTGAATAACCATATATGTGCATAATTAAAGGATACCTCTTGAAAGGAGGTACAATTTAAAATTCCTTGACTGACATGTATACAATGAGGTTTTTTAGGTGAAGTAGTACAATTGACAATTTTTGCACAGGTAAGATTTGTAGGAACAGCTACAGTTGGTGTATGCAAAACAATAGCAAAAAGGGGTAACATATAAGAGGCATGACCCCAGCTTGACATAGTTGCATAATGAAATTCATTGTGTGATAGAAAATTGCTTAAACCAGTATAATTTTTTTTAAAACTGAAGCTGGAACACACAAAGGTATAAGACAGGTAGAGAGTAGATTTTCCATATCATATGATTCAGAAATACAAAAGTCTGTCACTTGTGTTACATTAGCTAATTGCACCCAAATATTATATTTCATCCATGATTCTAAAGGATGAGGTGGGAGAGCTTGAGCCCCCAGACAGCAATTAAGAAGGAAAGAGAGGCAAAGAATGACTAAGGAATTTGCAGTCAAAACCACAAATATGGCAGCGCATAAATTCTCTGGTATAGGTTCTTTTCCCTGTTGCTGCAAAACCATCTGTGCTTTATATGTTAGGTTTTTCATATCACCCCAGGTTGTTGGTAAACTGCGACGGCGAGAGCGAAAGGGACGTTGTGCTATCTGAAGAGTCACCTGCTTCATTTCCAGTATTGGGTTCTGGACTTGATGCCATGACATCTTTGGCTGGTCGCACACACTGGGCTGGAATCCAGAGAGGGCCTGTAGGAGCAAGCACAGCAGCATAGCCTCGTCCCCATGTTAATAAGGGAATTGGACCTAACCAGGTTTTATCAGGCAATTGCTGATAACATACCAATGAATTAGGGAGCACAGCTTTCTGCTGAAAGTGATGCTGGTAGGCAGTAGTTTTCTTGAAAAGAAATATTTAGCTGATTTAAAGTTATTAGGACTTTATTGACTTGATCAGTTATCCATGCCAAATTAGGTACCCTTGATCCCTCTTTTATTTGTTTGTGAAGGCAGTCCTTAAAGGACTGATACATATGTGAGAAAAAAAGGATAGCTGCTGTAAAGTTAAAAACAAAGCCATAAGATTGGGGTTGATCCTGGGCATGATGGAAGCACCTGAAAAATTAAAAATAAGTTGGCACACATAATGAGAGTCAGAGATTAAGTTAAAAGTCTGTTGAGAAAAGGTGTGGAAAGCTAAAATAGCAGCAGATAATTATGAACGTTGTGGTGAGGACTGCACTGCAGTGTAGGCAGATGATATGAAATACAGCCTATATAGTCAGTTAAACGCATTGAAGAGATAAGTTTTTCTGAAAATAAAATTGAAAATCAAATTTTGGGATAGGAAGAACAATATTAATTAAATCAGTCCCATTTCAAGGACAAGCTCGATTGTGTCCTAAGGTTATTATTTCAGCAACAGCCTGGATAAAAGATAAAACATTTTGGGATGGGATAAGTAAAGCCATTCAATACAATATACTTTTTGTGCTTCTAACACAGATAATACTCCTGATAGTAGCTTACTAGTAAGAAATATGAAAAGTGTTAAGTGACAATTTTTATGTGGAATTCTGTCCACAAATTGAGTACTCAAGTACTTAATTTGCTCAACTGTGGTAAATGCTGCAAGTGGAACTACAATGAGATCTCCAGGTTGTTTTCCTTTGGTCAATAAGTCAAATTCCAAGTTAATCAAATACCATTCAGATGGAAACAAATTTCTATTAAGTAGGTGAAACATTTACAAAACTTAAGTAAAACAATTCAGAGTCATTTCTTTTGGTTGATGGATATATAGGTCTAACTAAACAATTTAAACTCAACACTTTTCCCCCCCAAAATTGTCCAACAATTACTGTCTCTTCTTTCAAGTAAAAATTTTGTAATCTGAAACTGCAAGAGTGGGCATTAAATTTCATCTTCATTCGCAAACCGGAATTCTAAACAGAGAGGAAAAAAAGTTTAAAACGAACAGTCCCCCCCTCCTTTCTGTCTCTCTTGCTCTTAAAGCAACACAACCAGTTAAAAAACAAAAGAGACAGGAAAATTTTTTGTTACAAACTTCTCACCACTAAAAAATAGTTTTCTCTCCTTCACATGCATTTTCCATAAATTCTCCATGGGACTCTTCTCCATGGGACTCTTCTCATGCAAACACTTACTATTGCTTTTCAATTTACTTTTACAACAATAAAATCTGCAGTTTACTATTTCTTTCACAGCCTGGGAGAGAGTGGGTGGGGGGTGGGGTTTGAGGGCTAACACACACACTTAGGTATCAACAAATTAATTCATTCATTTTCATTCTAACTGCTTGAATAAACAATTCCACATACAAATATTTCATTTCATACTTTCTCCAGGCAAACTATTTATTTTTAAATAAGGCCTTTTTGTATGATGTTATCAGAGAGGGTTTTGACCCTCTTCCAACTCTTGGAAATAACATAGAACACAGACAAACATATATACACAAATACATAAACAAAACACATATCAATTTGGGGTTTGAGGCTAAAACAGGCCTCCCCTTTTAATTAAAAAGGAGGGGAACATTTATGGTTACTTCCAATTTATCCCAGCAACTTCAAAAGACATTGGGGAAAAACTAAAAGGAATATTGAAGGTGTGAAGGGTGAGGGAAAAGTAGCAGCCTCCTCTCCTCACCTCTGACAAAGGGGAATTGAATAGAGCCAGATTAAAAGGGGAAAAGGGGAAGAAAAAAAAAACTTGCTTTCAGTTCTTTGAATTTTTTTTTCTTTTTCTTCCGTGGCTTTAGTTGTTATCAGATAAACTAGCCAACCGGAGGTTTACAAAGTTTTTCAATGTTGTCTTGTTAAATATTATTTATACTTCTATACA